CCATAGCTGCTGCCAAAAAAGTGTCCCCCACCGCCAGAGTTGCCACCGTGAGAGGAGCCGCGCCCGCCAGGCCCGCCGTTCTGTCCACCGGCGTGGCTGCTGCCGCCATGCCCCGCCAGCAGCGCCGTGCTGCTGGTGCTGCCCAGGGGGGTCCGTTGTCGGTCAAGGAGAAGGAGGGCCGACCGGACCTGGAGGAAACTCGGCAGGGGATCTTGAAATTGAAGGAACGAAGTTTGGGCTTGTAGATCGTCAGGGAGGCCACGCAACATTTGGAGAACAAGTTGGTGCTCAGACACGGGGGCATCGACGTCATCTAGCCAATCTGCAATATTTCTGAGCTCTTGACAATACGTAGCCATGGGAGTAGATCCTTTGACGGTGGTACGAAATTGGTGCTCGAGTTGCATGGCGCGAGCATGTTTATTGTCGTGAAACAGGTCATGAATCACCTTCCAGAGAGCAGAAGTAGTAGAGACAGAGGAAATAACTAGATCTGAAACTTCATCAGTGATGGTGGAGAGAATCCAGCCTTGAAGAACGCATCAAGCTGAAACCATTCATCGTCGTCATCGGAGATGGGAGCAATAGAACCGTTGAGATAACCCTGAAGGTTGAACCGCCGTGCAAGAAGAAGGAACAGGCGGCTCCACTTTTTGTAGTTTGGTTGAGAAAAGCTGAGTTGGATTGGAACATGGAGTTTGACGTTGGAGACAGAGAAAGCCAGATGTGGAGATTTTTGGGTGGAGGATTGAGAGATGACTTCACTTTCAGCCATGGAAGGAGGGGGAGGAAGCTGCCTGCCGTGAAAAAGAGGAGGAGAGAGACGGCGGCGCAGGTGGAGGTTCGGCGAAGAGGAGGGCCGAAACTAGGGAGGATATTTTTAGGGTTTTAGTTAGGCTCTGATACCATGAAGAATAAGTATTTTCATTGAATAAATTGTGAGGAGAGTACATGTATATATACACAAGTCTCAATCCTAATTAAGGTAGGAGAGACACAATAGGAAACCTATACAAATATTATATATATTATATTTGTATTATTATTGTTACCATATTTGTATAGGTTTCCTATTGTGTCTCTCCTACCTTAATTAGGATTGAGACTTGTGTATATATACATGTACTCTCCTCACAATTTATTCAATGAAAATACTTATTCTTCACCATGCACTATCTAAAAATGTTTAGACTCATCCTTACTCAAAATCGAAGTAATTTACAGTAGTTCTTATACTACTTTAATTTGTTGTTCGATCAATTAGGTTCTTTTCTTCAAATGTCTCTTATTTATTGTCCAAATGATACGGATTCGGAGCGGGAGGTTCACCACGTGCAAGACTCGGGGACCCGTTGAAGTAATCGGGTTCGACGTCCGCCGAGTTGGCAACAGGAGTACGACATGGGCTCCATTTAAATTATCCTCTTTATTATTATTTATTTATTTACTTGTACGTAGATTTTTCTAGGTGAGCGAATTATAAGCTCCTTCGAGTGTTTCTTTACGGTTCTTTACCTCGTCGCTTTTTTTGAACCGTCAGGGTAGAAAACATAGATAATTAGGATTAGGGTTTCCTTATATAAAGAGATGTATACATCCCATGAGAGATCATCAATAAACAAAACCCTAAAAACCCTAAACCCTTGTCTCGTTCTTCCCCTCCCCCCTAGCCGCGCGTCTCTTTCGGAGGTGTAGCGTATCTGCTTGTGGTGTTCTTCCGCCGAACCACAAGGAGTCTGGGAACACTCGGAGTTTCCCTCTGTGAACAACCTTATCACTGGTGCTCTCATTGCTTCGATCTCATGGCCGCAGATTCGTCAACACCAATCACTGCCGCTTGCCTTCGGGAGTTTCAGGAGCAAATTGATGATCAACTCAGTAGGGCACTCCAGCAACTGCACCACACCGTCCAACAGGTGCAGCTTGATTTGGGAAGCTTACGTGCAGAAACCCTGACCGACAAGCCCATGCGCGATGCTCGGCAGCCTCATGATCATGGTCAGGTGAATCCGATGACGAAACTCAAACTCGATATGCCAAAGTGTGATGGTACCGATCCTTTGGGTTGGTTATTTAAGGCGCACGAGTACTTTGTTTTCTACGCGGTACCAGAGGAGAACCGTTTATCGGCCGTATGTTTGATGTTAGAAGGGCCGGCTTTGGACTGGTTTCGTTGGCGCCAACGCAATCACCTGTTGGATTCTTGGGCGGATTTTGTTACCAAATTTAAACTCCGCTTCGACCCTTTAAATTATGTCGACTATCTCGGCCTCTTGTCCAAAGTGCAGCAGTCCGGTACGGTCCTCGACTACCAGCAGGCCTTTGAAAAATTTTTGGTGCATGTCACTGGTGTGGATGAATCTAATCTACAGTCCCTCTTCCATGCGGGGTTGAAGCCGCACCTACAACACGAGATTCTATTGCAGAGGCCCGCCTCTCTTTCGATGTTCTTTGCACTGACGCGAGAGTTGGAGGCGAAGCATGCAGCTTGGGCTACCTCGTTGCAGTCACGGGTTCCACACCGTTAGGGAGCATGGACTCCGCCGAAAGCTCCGTCTACTTCTTTGGCCACGCCACTGCTGCCCACGCCAGCCGGCATCATCGACAACAAACCCCACTCAACCCACCCTATCCGCCGGCTCACTTATGCTGAAAAAAAGGAACGTGATGCCAAGGGCTTGTGCTATAATTGTGACGAGAAGTGGGTTAAGGGGCATCGCTGCGGCCGCTTCCTTTTACTATTGGAGGATGATGTGGGGGACGAGACTTCCCCACCCGAGGATCTAGATTCCAACGTCGTTACAGCTGACATCTCGAGTCTACACAGTCTGGCAGGACCACTCACCCCACGCTCCCTACGCCTATCCGGAGTGCTTTCCGAAGGGGTTATGGACGTTCTTATTGACGGAGGCAGCACCCACAATTTCGTCCAGCCCACTGTGGTATAACGCCTATGCTTGCCTGTCTCGGATGTACCAGCCTTCCGTGTGTATGTTGGCAACGGGGCGTCCCTCCTTTGCGATTGTCAGTGCTATAATGTTTCTCTTCTTTTGCAGGGCACAACCTTTACGGTCGACCTTTATGTGCTTCCGATTCATGGGCCCGATGTTGTGCTCGGGGTACAATGGCTTCAATTATTGGGTAAAGTCACCCTCGACTATGCCCACCTTACGATGGAGTTTTTATGGAAGGGATCCCGGGTAACCTTGAAGGGTGGCACACCCACGCCCCGACCAATTTCCTTACACCATTTTCAGTTCCTGCAGGCACATCAGGAGGTTGTCGAATGCTTCGAAGTAACCCCAGTTCCCGCTGTCACAGGGGAGGTCGAACCACTGCTTTGACCGAAGGACCTGCCTACTGTGCTTCACACCGTCCTGCAGCGTTACAAGGCTGTTTTTGGCATGCCCACAGATCTGCCACCCCGGCGTGGCCAGGACCATCGGATTTTTCTCCAACCGGGAACGTCTCCAGTTAATGTCCGGCCCTACAGATACCCACAATTTCAGAAAACTGAAATTGAACGTATGGTCAGAGAGATGCTTGAGGCCGGTCTGATTCAGCCTAGTCGGAGCCCGTTCTCCTCGCCGGTGTTATTGGTCAAAAAGAAGGACGGCACATACCGTTTCTGCATGGATTATCGCGCCCTTAATGCCGTCACCGTACCCGATCACTTTCTGATCCCAACGGCCGATGAACTGTTTGATGAACTTGGCTCTGCACGCTATTTCACAAAGTTGGATCTTCGTTCGGGATATCATCAGATTCGCATGCACGAGCGGGATATTTACAAAACGGCTTTTCGCACTCACGAGGGTCACTATGAGTTTCGGGTAATGCTGTTTGGGTTGACAAATGCTTTGTCTACGTTTCAGGCTTGCATGAATCGGGTATTCGCACTCTATTTACGGAAATTTGTCATCGTCTTTTTTGATGATATTTTGGTTTACAGCTCCTCTCTGGACATCCATAGCCGTCATCTTGAAGCTCTTCTTGAGCTATTATTCTCACACAGGTTCTTCGTCAAACTGTCCAAATGTTCTTTCGGCGCCACTTCCATCGAGTATTTGAGACATATTATTGGTGACGGGCATCTCAAGGCGGACAGCGCAAAGATTGAGGCGATGGCAGCGTGGCCTCGGCCCACCACTATCAAACAGTTACGGGGGTTTTTGGGCTTGAGAGGATATTATAGACGATTTATCCGGCACTATGCACAACTGGCAGCCCCATTGACGGATCTCCTCAAGAAAGATTAATTCTGTTGGTCCGATGTGGCATCCACGGCCTTTGAAAACTTGAAATCGGCCCTCACCACTGCCCCACTCTTACGGCAGCCTGATTTTTCCCTTATGTTTGTGGTTGATATCGATGCATCAGACGTTGGTGTGGGTGCGGTCCTCCTCCAAGAAGAACAGCCGATCGCTTATTTTAGCGAAAAATTGGGCCCACGACGACGGGCGGCATCCACTTACCATAAGGAGCTTTACGCCATTGTCGAACCTGTCTAGAAATGGCGCCAGTATCTTCTTGGGAGGGAATTTCTTATTTGCACGGATCAACGTAGCTTGAAGGAACTCTTGCAGCAGGTCATCCAGACACCGGATCAGCAATTCTATGTCCGCAAACTTTTGGGGTACCGATTCCGGATCGTTTATAAACCAGGGAGTTCCAATACCGTAGCTGATGCCTTATCCCGACGGGACCAGGACGACATCCCTGCCACTGCCACGACCGATTTCATGGCCCTTTCCCAGCCGTTAACATCTATCATGGAGCGCATACGTGCCGAAAACGGAAGCCAACCAGATCTACGCGCGCTTCACGATCAGTACCGCCGCGGGGCGCTGCCGGCTCCCTACGTCGTGGCCGACGGCCTCGTCTCTTATAATACCCGTTTGTGTATTGGGGCAGACTCCGAGCTTCGTGAGGAATTGCTACGCGAGTACCACGACTCGCCGATTGCCAGGCACGCAGGAGTTCATCGAACTTTCTACCGACTGGCGACATCTTTTTATTGGCCTCGGATGCGGGCGGATGTTCGCGCTTATATTGCCAAATGCAAGGTCTGTCAAAAAGCAAAAACGTCAACGCAGGCCCCTGCCGGGTTACTCCAACCCTTGCCGGTTCCCCAGCAAGTTTGGGAAGACTTGAGTATGGATTTCATTTCGGGTTTGCCGCCATCCCGAGGGTATACTGTTATCTTGGTAGTGGTGGATCGCCTCACTAAGTATGCCCATTTTGGAGCGCTTCCCGCAGATTACGACGCTCACCGAACAGCCTTCTTGTTCACTGATATGGTCATTAAACTCCATGGTTTTCCCGTTCAATTGTGTCCGATCGAAACAAAATCTTCATTAGCACTTTTTGGAAGGAACTGCACAACCTCAGCGGCACCACCCTCAAGCACAGTACATCCTATCATCCCCAAACGGACGGCCAAACGGAGGTGATGAATCGCACCTTGGAGCAGTACTTGCGCATGTTCACGCACGCCACCCCTAAACGCTGGTCTGTCCTCTTGCCCTGGGCCGAGTATTCTTTGAACACAAGCTACCATGCCGGACTTCGAATGACCCCGTTTCAAGCGTTATATGGTCGCCCACCTCCGGCATTAGTGGCCTACCAGTCGGGCTCTAGCAAGGTACCCGCGGTGGATGATCTCTTGACAGAGCGGGATTCTCTTCTTCGACGGCTTCGGTCAGATTTGGTGGCAGCCCAGCACCGTATGAAACAGCGGGTGGACGCACACCGGCGGGACGTTGAGTACAATGTGGGGGACTGGGTCCTTTTACGTTTGCAACCATATCGGCAACACTCCGTGGTACGACGTTCTTCGCAGAAGCTCGCTTTGAAATTCTATGGACCATATGAGGTGATAGAATGTATTGGCCCTGTAGCATACCGACTACAACTGCCGGACAACTCAAAAATCCACCCGGTGTTTCATGTCTCTGTCCTTCGCCCCTTTCGAGGAACTAACCCACCGGTGCAGCCCTTACCCTTGCCGGACGATTTGGTTGACGGGAGGATGCCTTCTCAGCTGGTCAGATTGCATGCAGTACGGTGAGTTTTACAGCATGGTGTGCCCGTTGAACAAGGTTTGATATCATGGAGTGATGGTACGCTGGATGATGCCACTTGGGAGCCGCTAGGGGTGATTCGGGAACGTTTTCCACATCTGCACCTTGAGGACAAGGTGCTTGTCGAAGAAGGGAGGAGTGATACGGATTCGGAGCGGGAGGTTCACCACGTGCAAGACTCGGGGACCCGTCGAAGTAATCGGGTTCGACGTCCGCCGAGTTGGCAACAGGAGTACGACATGGGCTCCATTTAAATTATCCTCTTTATTATTATTTATTTATTTATTTGCACGTAGATTTTTCTAGGTGACCGAATTATAAGCTCATTCGAGTGTTTCTTTACGGTTCTTTACCTCGTCGCTTTTTTTGAACCGTCAGGGTAGAAAACATAGATAATTAGGATTAGGGTTTCCTCATATAAAGAGATGTATACATCCCATGAGAGATCATCAATAAACAAAACCCTAAAAACCCTAAACCCTTGTCTCGTTCTTCCCCTCCCCCCTAGCCGCGCGTCTCTTTCGGAGGTGTAGCGTATCTGCTTGTGGTGTTCTTCCGGCGAACCACAAGGAGTCTGGGAACACTCGGAGTTTCCCTCTGTGAACAACCTTATCACCAAAATTCTTAGCCATGACGTCAAATTTTACTATAGGTGACATGAAAATATTATTTTACATAATAAGTCAAACTTTTAATCTAATTCTAGTCATTATATAAAAAAATAATCTTATCCATATTTTTTTCATAAAATAAATAAATAAATGTATATTATTGTTCTTAGTAAAATTAAAACAAGTTTTTCTAAAAAATAAGTATGAATTAGCATGTCAAGACAACAATTTCATGTCATTTATTGTAAAATTAGACATCGTCCCTAAAAATTTGGGACAATAAAAATAAGTTGAAACTATACCTTACTTTGAGTTTTTTTTCCATTAATGGAGGTTTGAAGAACTTCGAGAAGATGAAACTTTATCATGTAGGAGCTTCTATACATATTTGTTCATGAATGAGAATATAATGTTGAGGGGGGTATTTTAGCTTGAGAAAGTCCAGGGAGAGTGAGGGTGAGTGTACTTAGAGCACGGGCAATGGCAAGGCAAAAAATGGAATGCCACACGTTGACGTGGAACATTCCAACCAATAGAAAACAGTCCAGTCATCGTGTGGCAAGAGCATGGAGTGGGTACGTAACGTCACCGTTCAGTAATAGAAACAGTGAAAAAATGTAAAAAAACATATATTAATAATTATAAATAAAATAAATTATAAAAATATTTTTATTATGATAAAACAAATATGAGAGAGACAAGGGTTTTTACAGCATCAATGATAAAATCTAAAAAATATTGTAAAACACACGAAGGGAAAAAGTGCCATATAAAAATAAAATAAATTATTCTTATTGCTGCTTATTTTGTAAAATTTTTGAAATGGTGAAAAGTTAAATTAAAAAATTTATTATTTTTTTTGAGTGGCAAGTGATAGGAGTGACAAGTCCTACAATGACAAGTCATTACTTTTTTTATTTTTTAATTTTTTTTTATGTATATTAACTAATAAAAATTATTTTTATCATCTCTTTTAACATACAAATACTATGTATTTCTATTACCTTCATAGAAAAAGCTTTTTTTATATATAAAAATAGAAATTGAAACTAAAAATAATAATACGTAGTATTTCACAGTGGATAAATCCACCAACACCTTCATCCATACCCCCGATGCAAATTTCTTTCTTAAGTTAAAAAAAAAAAAGAAATAGGAAAAAACAAAAAAAAACTAGCCTTGCCGATATGCCTCGGCAGTGACTCGCAAGGAGAGTCAAAATAAAAATGACATGCGAGGAAAACAAGTTTGGTGCTGATGTGGCAGTGCGTGGAGGCTATTTGCCTCGCCACTGCCACTGCTCTTAATCCCCACCATCAACATTACACTCGTGTCGTTCTAAAATAAAGTGAGATAGATGGAGGTAATCTAGATGTCAAATGTCTATGCTAGTAGATGGTATAAATGTACAATTTATTCAATATTCTGAAAATATCACAATGGAAAAATTTAGGGATCGGAAAAAGACTGATATAGTACTCCTGTCCCAAAATGTATGCCACATTTCGTAAAACAAGAAAAAAAAATATCAAGTTTTTTCAATTACTTTATTTAAATATTGGTATAGAAATAAAAAATAAAATTTACCCGGAATATATATTTAAAATCTATATGAAAAATTCTTCAAAATAAAAAGTGTTAAAAATATTTTATCTTATCAAATAATTAATAAAAACGTACAAATAAATAAAAGTTCTCGTGATAGTTGAAAAAAGAAATGTTGCATTCTTTTTAGGATGGACTGACGGAGAGAGTAGTAAAACATTAAAAATATACAAAAATAGGAGTTTCTTTTTTTGTTTCCGAGAAATGAGTTAGAATGGTTTTACATTGCCAACTATTTATGATATAAAAACATGAAATTTTCTAGTTTATTATTTTTCTATATTTTAGTCCTAGCTAATTATAGTGATTTCTTAAAAATTCATTGGATGGTACAAAATTTCGTTCCTCCCGGTGAGAAACAAATGTTAAAATGCTAGTTGAACTAAATAGTAAATACTCGAGCTTCAATTAAATTTTTTTCAGTTTAATTGGAAAGTACGGAGTAATTCAATCCAATTATCAATTCTAAAAGAAGGTTGCCAAAGCCTCCTTAATATTTTCGCTTTAAAATCTTAAACAAGTGGCAGAATTGGATGATTTCCCTGCATGTGTAAGTTCCTTGTTTTGTATTCCATTATATGTAACTTTATTACTCCGTATATACTTTCCCAAATAAAGCAAAGCGGATTAGCGGACTCCGTTTGGCCTGCAGAATTTACCAGAAACGGAGTAGCCTACTCCGTTCCAATCATTTAAATACCCAAACGGAGTAGCCAACTCTGTTCCAGTTATTTAATTAGGAAACAGAGTAGCCAACTCCGTTCATTGTTTTTTTTAACTTTTTTAAAATGAAGTATTTACTTTATTTCTTATATTTAAAAAAACATAAAAAATTATAAAAATCAACAAATTATTGACATATAATGAAACAAAGAATCTACTAACAATAAAATTCATTGTTAAAATAAATATTTATTGACTTTAAATAATGCACTATACACCGAATTAAAAATAAGAAGTAAATTACAACAAATTTATTGATAGAGTACATAAAATTTATCCATAAAATTAAGGATACAAAACACATGCCATCACTAATTTATTTTGTGAAAATCATAAAACATAAACTTGGATATTTGAGCTATTGTTCATTGCGACGTCGTCGTGGTCTGTAGTCCATGTTATTCGGGTAGCGAGTTCTTGTCAGTCGACCGGTTTGTGTTCTCGCTCATGCAGTTGGTCTCACAATCTCGTATCCTGGAGTAGGCCAGTCGGCCTCATCGGGAAGCGGCATTAGGATGCCCGAATAAGCGTTGATGTAGGACTTGAGTGAAAAAACATTAGGAATCAAATGATCCACAGTGAGACTACACTGATGACATACTGCGTGAACGTGAATGCACTGAATGTGATATATTACCCAATCTCCACAGGTACATGTCCGTGCATTTAAATTCACCGCAAATGTCTCGCGGTGGCCATTGTTGAAGGACCCATCCACAACCACAAAGTATATCCCATGTTGTGCGTGGTGCTGCACAACACGACGATAAAGCCTATTTTCTTCATTGTTCTTGATCTTTTTCCACAGATTCATTGGAAAATTATACCCAGATTGTTGCCACAAATATCCATTGGTTCGCCTATCAGCAAATAGCTTGACCAATTTGTCATACGTGAACCTCACAATGGCAAAGACAGGTAAACAACGACATCCCTTAAGGACATGTTTGAAGCTTTCTGATGAATTTGTTGTCGTAATACCATGGCGTGAGCCACCTTCATCATGGGACAATGCCCACATGTATTTTGGAATAGCCCTAAGCCAGTTGTACGCTTCTTGATTTTTGGACGCTATCTAGAGAAGCGTCTGCTCAAACTCACTTCTGCTAGGGGTCTTACCAGCTTTATACATCATGTTCTTCAGTTTCTTACTTCGAAACTTGCTATATATGGAAATTGCTTCGTATATGGCGGAGACAAAATCTTCGAGTGACTTGGGGATGTACCCTGGTCCGTGCTGATGGACAGGGTTCCCTATCTGTCGTCGACCCCGAAGGTAGTACCACTGACGATACTCCGGTGTGGCATCCACCATCCCAAACTCCATACACGTGGTATCAGAGACAGTTTGTTCAACACGAGCACAAATTGTGAGAAAATTTGTCCCCGAGGGTTTGCAGATCTGGATAGTTGGATTGCACTGAGAAAGTGGAGCCGCTGCGAATCTCCTGTGTGAAGGAGAGTAGTGCCGCCTATTCGAGAAGGGGGAGAGCTGCGCAGGTGTTCGCCATCGTCTGCGAGCCGCCGCAGCGTCCCTTCGCAGCGCCGCCGCCGCCGTCCAGTGCAGAACCGAACCCACCGTCAATCCGCCGTTCAGATCGCAAATCACAGCCGCACCACCTAGATCTCCGCCGCCGCTTGCGCACGGACCGCCGCCGCGTGGAGGAGCCCCGCCGCCAGTCCGAGGCAGATCCGTCCAGTGGGTACCATCGCCGTCCGCAAATTGTCGCTGATCGAGCGGTAAATAAGTTGCGAGGAGCGACGCTGACCAGAGCCCTGTCGGCACCGGTGCCGTCCTATTCGAGAAGCTGCTGTCCAGATTAGGAGCAACTGTCCAGTTTTTGCAGCCGCCAATTGCAAAAAGAAGAATTGAAGAAAAAAAGGGGGTTTTTCCTTTTGGCCTTCGGCAGAAAGAAAGGAACAGAAAAGGTTGGGCTGTGCGTGTGTTTTTTGGTGGGTGGATTTTGGGCTGATTTGTTTTGGCTAATTTAATTGGAGCGGTGGGCCTGTTTTTCTGACGAAAATATCAAGATCTGAAATTAGTTGTATCGGGTATCTCGTCTAGTCATTTGAGATGGCAGAATATGGGAAGTTCCGAATTGAGAAGTTCGATGGTACAGATTTCAGTTGGTGGAAGATGCAAATTGAAGATTTGCTGGTTCAGAAAGATTTGGACGCGGTTTTGGGTGACAAGCCAGAAAAGATGTCAGAAGCAGATTGGGCAGTTTTGGATCGGAAAGCAATGTCCGTGATCCGTCTCTCGTTGACCAAGAATGTTGCGTTCAACATTCTGAAGGAGAAGACAACGAAGGGAATTATGGACGCGCTGTCTAACATGTACGAGAAGCCATCTGCAGCGAATAAAGTTTTTCTGACTAGAGAGCTGTTGAACACAAGAATGAAAGAAGGCACTTCTGTTACCGAGCATATCAATAAGCTGAATTCGATCTTAACCAGACTTGCGTCAGTGGGCATTAAGTTCGATGATGAAGTTCACGCTTTGCTTCTGCTATCGTCTTTGCCTGATAGTTGGTCCAGAACGGTTACAGCGGTTACCGGTTCAGTGGGACCTGATGGATTCACCTTTGATCAGATTCGGGATCTCGTTCTTGGCGAGGATGTCAGAAGAAAGAGTTCAGGGGAGTCATCTGGTGAATTGCTTCATGTTGGTAGAGGAAGAAGAAATAGCAGAGGTAGTGGGAGCAGGAACAGACAAAGGAGTCAGTTAAAGACTCGTGACAGCTCAGGTGTAACGTGCTGGAAGTGCAAGGAGGTGGGGCATTTTAGGAATCAATGCCCAAATGAAATAAAGTGAACATTGCTAAAGGCTCTGCGAGTGACGAGGAGGTCACTCTGACTTGCTGTGAGGAAAGCAATGTGGATTCCTGGGTCATGGATTCTGGTGCTTCATTTCATGCCACCCACAGCGGTGAAGCATTGCAGAATCTGGTTATTGGAGACTTTGGAAAGGTACGACTTGCAGACGATAGAGCTCTTGAGGTGACGGGCATGGGTGACATGGTGTTGAAGACCTCAGTCGGTCTCTGGACTTTGAAGGATGTCAGAGTGGTTTCAACCTTGAAGAAAAGTTTGTTTTCTGTTAGGCAGTTGGACGAACAGGGACGTGAGGTGAAGTTCAGAGATGGGCAGTGGAAGGTCGTGAAGGGAAATCTTGTCATGGCCCGTGGAAAGAAGAGGGGTTCGCTGTATATGGTCGAGTTACCATCTGAGGGAGTGACCGTCCCAGTTCAGAAGAGAAACAAAGTCCGGTTCACAGAGCCTCGTGGGCAGAATAAGGTTGTCTGTGCAAGAGAGAAACCTAGAGCCACTGGTCAGACTCAGGATGAACGAGCGTGGAAAGGTTCAAGGGGGCCAGTCAGAGGTATTTGTGGCTGTGGGAGCTCAAGAGGCGCTTCAGCCAAGTTGCCTAGAAGACAGTGTGTCAGGAGAACCAGTATTCCAGCTAATGGAACATCTCTAGAAAATTTCTTGCTGAGTACGAAGAGTGTTTGTTCTCAGGATGTTTCAGGATCCGGGAGTGTGCATCTGCAGTGGGAGCCGGTAGGGACTGAGGACGAGTCAGGGGCAGATTTTGCCGTGACTGATGTGTTGGAGCTTGGGAGAGCTTCAACGGGTCTTTCAGTTGTCTGATGAGAGGACCGCTGCAACAGGAGAGCTGAGGAAGATTACTCGATGTACAGGCAATCGTGGTGGATGACAGTTGATGACTATCAAGCCTCCAAGTAGGAGAATGTTGGGCTTTGTGGAGGCTTGTTTGTCGGCCCGGCCCAGTTGTGCGTAGCCCTAGCTTTTCCCTATATATAGAGGGCTTGTATTTTGTAATCTTGGGACCACAAGTGAAATAAGAAAACCCTCCTGTTATAGCCGTGGATTAGGAAAACCGAATCACATTAAATTCTTGTGTTTCGTTTCTCTCGTTTCTCGCAGATTATTTGTGTGTGTTGTGTGTTTAATTCCCAACACTACCCTACTCCGTTTCCTTTAGTATTTCAAAATTAAACGGAGTAGCGAACTCCGTGTTGCACTGCCAGGAAATAAAACTCTGACTTATACTACGAGAAATGGTTTTTAATTTGTTTACACGAGTTTAATCGGCAGAATTCAGCAAGCTATAAAGAGTGCAGAGTGATCGGTGAACCATGCTAATAATAAATTTTTAATTTTACGTAGTACTCCGTATTTTTTTGCCCTCATCAAGCCCCTGTCATCTTCCCTCTTACACACTTTTATACTCCGTATATCTGAATTCCTCTGTCAACAATGGTACAGTGACATTTAATTATTCAACTATAGATAAAAAAAGAGCAGAGTGCGATAAATAGATATAGAAGCTGGCTTTGCTTTAACCCACCCATCACATTTCAATTCCCAGGTTTTCATTTGTCCTGCTTCCTCCAGATCCAAAGTCAAAAACTCTAAAAAGAAATCCCCGCCGGCCGGAGAGAATGGAGGCGACGGCCTTTCGCCACCGCCGCAGTGACAATGCGAGGCCGAGACACGGCAGCAGAGACACCAGTCCTCCGGAAGACAGCAGGCGGCTTCCACCCCCTCCGCCGCCGCCGGAATTCATTCCCGCCACCATCCGGCCGGCAACCCTGAAGAGGGTTCAGGTGGTGTATTACCTGTCGCGCAACGGCCACCTGGAGCACCCGCATTTCATGGAAGTCGCTCATCTTCATACCCGCCGTCTTCTGCTGAGAGATGTCATGGACCGTCTCGTAGTCTTGAGAGGCAAAGCAATGCCTACACTCTACTCTTGGTCTTGCAAACGGTAAATTCTTTGTAGAATTTGGAAAGATTTAGTGTTTTACCCCTTCATTTAATTATTCACATTCTAATTCTGAAGTAATTTCCCACCACATTCCATGGCAGGAGCTACAAGAATGGGTATGTGTGGAATGACTTGGCGGAAAACGACGTCGTTTACCCTTGTGATGACGAGGGCGCTGAGTACATCCTCAAAGGCTCTGAGCTCTTTCAGCCTTCTTCTTCTTCTTCCTCTGGTAAATTAATTTTTTTTTGCTTTGTAAGAAGTCAAAATTCAGAATGAATTACGGAGTAAATCAGCGCAGTGAATTTTTAAGAATAAAAATGTACTAATTTGATTTTAATTTTTTTTTGGTGGTCAGCAGAAAAATTGAGAGTCAATGATTCACAGATGGGGTTTGACCTTGTGGTCAGAGGTGCCCAGCCCGTCAGACACGGGGACGTGGTGGCGGCGAAACGACGGCCGGTGGCTTCGAAACGACATCCGGAGCCGGAAGATGATGCTCGGGACAACTACGGAGATGACGGCGGGGAAGTGTGTGCGGAGGAAAATGCGATGGGCGTGCGGGAAAAGGATCTGACTCGCACTGAGTTGACTCGCGACGAGTCGTCTCCCCCGTCCACCGCTTCCTCCCTGTCCGAGAAGGGGAATGACGGAAGCAACAACAGCTCGTCGATGAGGTACGAAGACGGGGACCCGGTGGCGGCGGATTCGGTACTGAGTCGCAACTCGGTGCTGTTCCAACTCATTTCCTGCGGCGGATCCGCTTCTTTCAGGGCGAAGAGTCTAGCGTCGTTGTCGAGGCAATCGCCGGCGGCGGCGGTCGGGAGGAAGAGCTGCAGCGGCAGCGCTCTCCAGAGAGGGGTGATGGTGAGGGCAGCGGCTGCAACGTCGTCTTCGATGGACGACGAGGAAGAAATCATCATCAAATACATGTCGGAGAATCCGAGGTTCGGGAACATGCAGTCGGAGGAAAAGGAGTACTTCAGCGGGAGCATAGTGGAGTCGATTGCGTCAGAGGAGAAGTCTCAGATCGGTCCCTGCCTCAAGAAATCTAACTCTTACAATGAAGAAAGGTGAGTCAACTCGGTTACCCGCTTTTGCCAACTTTGATACTGCATTCATTTACTACCATTTTACCTGATTTCCAAATTACTCCCCCCTGACGAAGTACAGTAACACTGTAAATTTTATCCTTGCCTGTGTCATTCTGTCATTCCTCCAAATTTTATCGGAAGAGTATGATGGTAAAATGTTAGATACTCCCTTCACAAATTTCTATATTCCAATATGTGTTATCAAACATAGGAATTGAAATTATAATACAACTGTATATCAATTTCTTAATTATAACAATCAAAGAATTTGAAATTGAATTAGAATTTAATTCCATTCAATTTAATTCTATAGAATATCAATTCCAAATCGGTATACCAAACAAAGCCTTGAACTCTTCTCATTTGGCCTTAAATTGATTTTTTTTGTCTAAATTACATTTTCAATAGTTTCTCCAAATACAACAAAATAGAGGATATTTTAGACAATAAAGACACTTTGAGACCATGGGAAGGTTGTTTGGATTTGTGAACAAATTCACACATAATTGTCATATTAACAGTTGAGATTATTGTAGAATGGCTCATGATTTTGCTGATGATGACATGACAATCCACATTAAGTGTTGACCGAGAAAGGAAGATCTATGCGGTTGACTTTTTTTTTAAATAAAAAAATAAGCGTACTGATTGTGAGTTGTATGTGACAGGAAGTGCTGCAATGGGGCAGGGCTGGGAGATGAAGAAGAAGGAGGGGTGAAGAGAAGGGGTAAAAGTGAGAAGGCCGCTGCGGGGAAATGTATTCCCATTAAAGTCTTCTTCTAAACAGCCTTCCAGAAAGTGACAAAGATCTATTGGGAACCCATTTTGCCTTTAAGTTGGTTGGATCGATCTATGAACTCATACAATTTGCCTCTATTACTTTTGTCCTCTACAATGGGTGTACGCTTTTTATTATTATTATTATTATTATTATTATTATTATTATTATTATTATTATTATTATTATTATTATTATTTATTATTATTATTATTATTATTATTATTATTATTATTTATTATTATTATTATTATTATTATTATTATTATTATTATTATTATTATTATTATTATTTATTATTATTATTATTATTATTATTATTATTATTATTATTATTATTATTATTATTATTATTATTATTATTATTATTATTGTGACTACTCTGACCTTTTCCCCCAAGGATTTGAAAACTATTCTCGAACCTTTCACACGGTCCCTATCATCCAGTCGTTATCCTCCCGTCGCTATCATCCGGTTCGTGCTGAGTAGGGAGGAACTCGAGGACCGAGCCGAGGCCATGGATCGAGCTCTGCCTGCCTGGATGTGGGCCCTGCCCTAGACCTTAGTACTAGGCCGATGTGGGGATATCCTCCGTCAAAACCGAAACCGAAACTTAGGGGTGTAAACGAATCGAATCGAAGCGAATACTGAAATATTTGAATTTGAATTTGTTTAGTTTTTTCGAATACGAATACGAATCCGAATATGAGACGAATTCAAAATAAGATTTGAATATGTATTTGATTAATATTCGAATAGTTAACGAATCCTAAACGAATATTTGAATGATCATACTTTGTAATTTATATGATGGACCAACATCGATTTGTAGTTTAACTTACGATACTCCTTATACTATACTATACTCCGTATCTAAAAACGTTAATACATTTGCATCTTACACAAATTATATTTTATAAAATATAACTATTATAAATTATATGCTTTAGATTCTCATGTTACGTTAATTTGTCGAATTCTTAGTAATTTAAATACACTTTATATTATATTAGTTTGTTTGATTATTGATGTTGAAAACATGGTCAGTGTGTATATAATTTGTGACTACTCTAATATACGAATATCATCCGAATCGAATATATTCCTATTTGTATTTGTATTTGTTTAATATTCGAATCAAAAATAAGATTTGAATTTGAATTTGTATTTGAATAATGCGAATTCGAATCATTATATTCGAATACGAATGACGAATCCTGAACTTACTTTAAAACCAAACTGAACTTACTTTAAAACCAAACTGACCCCCTATGTACATTTTAACCCTGGCCACCGGATATCATACCCGCAAGGCCTAAACTAATTAAGCCACAATGGGTCTATCTTAGTGTTCTTCTAGATAACCTTAATAATCAACATCATTTTCATAATCATCAATTTTAATCAGGAAATATATTTTAAAGCATGGTTCAATAATCATAATCAACACATAAACTTACCGTCATGCTGTTGGAATGCATGAGTTCAACCATTTCTGTGTTGTTAAGTGTTGACTCACATGTTTTGATAATTGACAAACACAATTTATTTAAGTCAAGATCAAAGTGCTACAACGACAAACACGAAGACTTGAATCCTTGAAATATTCAAGAAAGTGCACACATGAAGACTTCAACGATTGCCATTATTGTAACGCCCCAAAATATACCCTATAATTATTAATAAATAAATAATTAATTAATCAAATTTGTTTTGATTAAAAATAAATGTTTGTTAGGCTTTAGGCCAAAATGAAATATGTTTAAATATTCAATATTACAACCAGGATAAGTCTCATAGAGATAAATCCAAAATGTTGATTTATTGTGTGATCTTAATTGGGAACCTGTGTACAGGCCCAAATTAAGAATAAATGAAGAAATTGTTTATGATGTAAAGTTTGAAATGATTAATTAAAATAAATCATGAAAATAAATAATATGAATGGAATGCAAGAATCTTTTTGAATAAAGGCCAATTAAATCAATTTTGACTCTGTCAAAGTCAAACATCCAAAAATATGATGTCTGAAAAAGTATATCAAATAAACATAAAAATTATATCGTTGGATAGAGTTTGACTGTCTGATCACAACAGTGCAAACGGAATTCAATTCGGAGAAAGCTGGACCAAAAGTGTACCCCGACTGGAACCAAAATTAATCCCAATCAGAGACGGCGCCTCCTATCCAAGATACGTTCCTACGCAAATCCTACGCAGCATTGTTTGGTTTCTTCCTCCAGACCACCTTCACTCTCTTAATTTTCCATCATTTCTCACAATCCTCATATCAATTCTGTTGATGCGAGTGAGGAGAACGCAGTGGTGCTATCATATTGATGAAAGGTTGCCGGAGTTAGGAGTAATCGTCGCCGGAAGTTTCGCCAGAAAATATTCAAAACCTTCATTTACCTTCGAGGTAAGCCCGTAGATATATATAATGACTAGAATGTTCGTATAGATCGTTTCTATGTTCATAAACGCTCATTTGGTTGAGTTTTGTGTTTGACATGCTTGAAGAACCAATAATCATAAACCATGAAATTGATGTTAAAACTATGAGTTAATGATGCCAAAATGATGTATGAACCTTGGAGAACATTTCTATATAGTTTTGTTGAAGTTCGGTAACTAAAAAATGGTATTTTCGAAAAATGGACCGAAGATTGAAGAAGATGAACAGTAACCTGAAACTACACTGCCTAGATCGATCACACTGCCCTGATTAATCACACTGCCTGGATCGATCATACTGCCCTGATCGATCACACTGCCCTGATTTGTCACACTGCCTTGATCGATCACACTGCCTGGATCGATCCCCCGACCTGTTTGTTCCGAAAATACTTCTGAAAATGTTATTTTTAAGGTCTAAAATCCTATTTTTGATATCAATTGATTATGATCATTATAAAAATGATTTACCATAATAAAAATGATATTTTTAACAAACTAAAAATGTTATATGTTGCATGACGGTAAGTTTGGGTGTTAACACTCGAAACTAGGCCGCTATTTGTTATCAATTGTTATGTTAATTGATGATTATAATAAACGAATATTATGGGTGAGTATGAGTAATGAACCTACTGATTAAAATGAGTATTTATGATTGAATCATGAGTAAAATGAATACATTTATAATTATGAAATGATTTGTAATGTTAAGGGTATCTAGAAGAACTCTAAGATATACACATTTAGAGAATTGATGTTAATGCTATCTGGAAGACCTCTAGAAGAGATCTCATATTAGTATGGATTTGTGAAACATGAATATTCGATTAATTAGATAAAAATGTATAAACGGGATTCCTAGACCAAACTAGAGGATTACTCGTTTGGGAATGCCTGATCCAATGTTGATCAATCACTATATTGTTGTTGCCTTAACTGACTACAGTTAAGTGTCTGAAATCGATTGCCTTAAACTAATGATAGTTTAAGTGTCTGATTGCCTTAACTGACTACAGTTAAGTGTCCGAAATCAATTGTCTTAAAGTAATGATTGTTTAAGTGTCTGATTGGCTTAACTGACTACAGTTAAGTGTCCGAAATCAATTGCCTTAAACTAATGATAGTTTAAGTGTGTGATTAATAATTGCCTTTTAAGGATCTGGTTATGAAAATTATGATTTGGCCTTAGACTAAGAATAGCTAAGAGCATTGTTATGATCTGGCCTTAGACTAAGAATACCTAAGAGCGTTGTTATGATCTGACCTTAGATTAAGAATAATTTAAGGGCACTGTCGGAATAATATCTGAATTGAATAAAATGTGTTGATATGAACTGAACATTATCAAAACTGTGAATGTCTAAAATGAACATTGTGTGCATGATATCAAATGATTTGATAATGAATTTAGATTTAGTTTATATGGATGTTCGACGCATTAAATATGCTTACTCAGCTTTACCGCTGAGCGTGTAGTGTGTTTTATTTGCTACACACAGGTAAACAGAAAGATTAATGTGATCCTGGCGGCAGATGGGGGCGAGATTGTCGAGATCGATGTGACAAGTTTGAAATGCTTTATGATATGTCAATATTAAATTCGCTTCCGCAATATTGTTGAATACTCCGTACTGTATATGTTATGAAAAATATTATTGTGATAAATAAAGTGTGTTTGAAAAGTTTTAAATTTTTACGATTATCAAGTTAAATACTTTAGTCCGAAAGGAGCTGCAGACCTGGACGGATTAGGGTATTACAATTATCGCCATCATAGTGCCATGGTGTCTCTACCAAGGGAAAAAGATTTCAATACAATGCGAACAAAAGCCACAATGTCAAAGACGATAATGCATACTAACAGACATGTCATTAAATAATGTCAAACATGTTATTGCGTAATGCGAAACATGTCAATATAAATGTCAAAAAGAAAGTAAAATGTCAAGATTGCCAACATACAATGTCAAGTTTCTTATCATCACCTAATTTTGCTGAAATAGAGAGTAAAATTTAAATACAACTAATAGAAAAACAATTAAACAAAAAAATTAAAAGAAAAACAATCAAATACAAAAATGAAAAGAAAAAACATAATGAAGATGCAATTTTAACTTGTGCTCAATGTCGGCTTTGTTTGGTAATAGCGTTTTCGATTAGCGTTAGCGTTTTGGATAAAATTTTAATGGCGCAGATTAATTCTGAAAACGCTAACGCTAAAGGCTACTGTCAGATAGGTTTTTGCAAAACGCTAACGCTAATCTCTGACGCTGATGTCAAACGGGACCGTCATCTTTTTGCAGTTGTATTTCGGGCTTTTAGTGTTCGTTGGCTACATTGTAGTGGACACCCAAGCAATAATTGAGAAGGCACACTCTGAAGATCTAGACTAAGGCCCCGTTCCGTTCAACTTATTTTTTCTTATTTTTTCTTATTCTTATTAAAATCAGATCAGATCAGATCAGATCAGATCATATCAGATCAGATCGAATTAGATCAGATCAGATCAGATCAGATCGAATCAGATCAGATCAGATCGAATCAGATCAGATCAGATCAGATCAGATCCAACCAGATTAGATCAGATCAGGACTTATTAAAATCAGATCCCATCAAAAATTATTATTATTATTATTATTATTATTATTATCATCATCATCATCATCATCATCATTATTATTAGTATTGTTCTTAAAAATGAAAAAGAATAAACTTTAGAAATAGGTTAAATAGAAAACTGAGAAAGTAATCCTTAATTATTAGACGTCTGAAAAATTAGTTTTAAAATACATTGACAATGTCAATCTAATTCTACTTTTAAAATATATTTTTATTGCTACTTGTAATTTAAGTTTCTAAACTTTTGATCTTTTATAAGGATGAGATATTTTATTAAAAATACTATCTCTTCTATATATTGATTATCTAAATTTAATTACTTTCTAATGTATATCTAAATTCAATATTTAATCTAATGTATAATTCTAATTTTACAAAAATATAATCATAAAATAAAAAATATTATTACATTATAATATGAATGATTATTCTAATATATGAATTAACTATTTTTATTTTATTAAAAAATAATCATTAAATAAAAAATATTGATTGTATTATAATATGAATTATCATTACAATTTTCAAACGTTATTATAAAGTCAAAATAAATTATTGATTTGAAATTTTAAATTAAATCATAATTAATCAGATCAGACCAGACCAGATCAGATCCAATCAGATCATATCAGATCTAATCAGATCCATTCAGATCCAATCAGATCAGACCAGATCAGATCAGATCCAATCAGATCAGATCAGATCCAATCAGATCAGATCAGATCAGACCAGATCAGATCAGAACTTATTAGAATCAGATCAGATCAGAAAAAATAAGTTGAACGGAACGGAGCCTAAGTCAGTGAAACACGCACTCACCCTATTCACCGACTTTGTAGCTGTTTTTGTTCGGATTACTAATTAATTACTCCTATTTAGAGGAGTTTAAGTTTGATCTTCTATTCTGAGAATATGACATATGTTTTACTCCTATTTAGGAGTTTTTTCAATCAATAACCTATTTTGCGATACATAGATAGTTATTCTATATTATCTACTCCTTTCGTCCCAAAAAAAGTTATGTTTCATTTTTTGCGTATCCCAAAAAAGACTTCTACACACATCTAAAATGCCTAAAAATTGTCACGTTTACCCTTTATTGTAGATAGAAATTGTTTTGAAAGTTTTTTGGGCGTTTGAGACGATATAAAAGTATTTTATGGGATCCGCAAAATATGAAACATAACTTTTTTTTGAGACAGAGAAAATATGTGTTTGTGAAACACTTAATATACTCTGTAACATTGATTTACAATAATGTTTTTTTAAAAACTTTCATACACATCGATGTATCTCTACAAACTTTTTTAACTCTTAAACGCAAAGGTGAGGCTACTAATATTATGAGATCCCAAATATAAGGGTTTTGTCGGTTTGAAAATGTGTTTAGAACTATCATTATTTTGGAGTGCAAAATGAAAAGGGATTGCGCGTAATTTTACGCGTTTGGTTTCGGCGTATGGACCGTGATTCACGCCTCCCCGGGGGGCCCATGTCACATTTATATTCTCGGCTATTCTCTCTCTCTCTCTCTCACTTTGCCAGTTTATTCCATCTCTCTCCATCATCTTCTTCATATCAAGCTTCCTATTCTCTCTCCAGAACACAAAACCAGAAGAATCCCCAGCTCCGAAGATGGCGAGATTCGTTGCACTCTTCGCTCTCTGCGCCCTCGCCGCCGCCGCAACCACAATTTCCGGCGTTAGCGCTTCCCGCAGACCTATCACTGACATTACTCTCATTGGCAGAGTGTACCTGGACACTTGCTTAGTCGGCTTCGAAACCACACACAGCATATACCCCGCCGGTAACGTCTTCTTCGTTCTTCGAATCCGATCTTTATCTTCTCAAGTTATGTCGATCTATGCTTTTCCAGATCCGATTGTTTTTCAGATCTAGGGTTTGACCTTTACCGTGATGTAGATCTAGCTAATAATCGTACCAATACTTGTTCATACATACTTTGGCAGGCTCAACTGTGAAACTGGTGTGCAAGGACCGCAAGACCAGCAAAATCACCTACACCGACAAAGCCGTCACTGACGCCAATGGAGAATACAAATTTACTTTGAAAGGTCTCCGGAGTGGTAAGGAGGTCTGTCAAGTTCATGCCATTGAAAGCGTGCATCCTGACGCCGGCAAACCAGATCAGGCCAGGGAGAGCGCCCTTGTCATCCTCAACGGGGGCAATGGAATCGCCAGCAACACACGCTATGCCAACAATGTGGCATTCACCACGACCAAGCCTCTTTCTAACTGCGCCCAGATCGTCTCCCAGTACCACCTCAATGATGACAATTTTTAACGTCTTTTGTTCACAGCCTATATTTTAATATTCCACATGTTTACTCGCTACTTCATCTTGTTTTCAAGAGTGTGTAGCTTATGCACATCGCCTCTCTGTGCCGTTTGCTTATACTTTATTTCATTGAATTTATGGTACGTTTCCATTGTGTTGCCGCTCCCCTTGTGTATTGTAATATGTTCAGACTTGAGATCAGTTGGTTATAATTTATCTCTGTGGTTTTTGTTAATGCTTTGTTACTTCATATTATGAATCCTTGAGTGGGATGAAGAAAAAGATCAAGGTCCATACCAATTATGTAAATTGTGTGAGATTTTGAGATCAATAATCCAACCTATCTTGATTGATAGAAGATGGAGATGGTCCTTTTTTTTTTGTTTCTGTGACGGATTCTCTACCCTTTTATTTTATTAAACCGTCCATCTACGCATCCTATCTCAGCTAGATTCTTTGAGGAGGAGGAGGAGGAGGTAGTGGTGGTGGTGGTGGTTGATACAGGACTATATTTAGTTATTTACCATTATTATTATATTACTATTATTATTATTTATAGTTAGATAATTATATTTTTATCAGGAAGTATTATTATATTAGGTTATTAGTATTTTAATTTATTTAGTTACCTTTTATGGCTAGGACTCTTTAGATCAACCATCTATATATGTAGCCATTATGCATGAGTTTATAATTCAATCAATGAAGAGATATTTTCCTAACCCTGAACTCCATCTTTCCTCCTCGCCGATTAACGGCCCTCTTCCCATCTCCCTAGCCTTCTCAATCTCCCCCTTTTCCTCGATTCTATAGCTCGAAGGTGCTCAACCTTTCCTATCCCGATACGATATCGTATCAATTGGTGCTCTCATTCTTGAACTCACCCAAAAAAATACAAAAAAACGGCGCTGAGATCCTGCTCTTTCATCACTTTGATCTTCGCTCAGTTGAAGTCATCTTGGCACCAAATCACAACATAGTACTCAAAAAATAGAAATTGTTCCAAATTGGTTCATCACCCACTACAATATGCAAGTAATCCATTAGGTACATTAGCCACCTGCCCATCAATTACCTCTGCATGTTTATTGGTACCAAGGACTTTTGCGCGGCATTTTTTTTCTACAACATCAATTGATTTGCCTTGCCGCAACTTATTGCGGTGACTACCCCTTTGTGTGGTGGTGTTTCTTTTGGCAATGGATTCTCTGTTGGACAAAGTTCTTTATTTACTCGAGAAAGTTTTGCGGGGACAAATTGAATTTTATGAAGGCGTGTTAGAGTTGAAGATTCTGTGGATGAAATTATAAAGAAACTTCAGGCATTCCGTCAAATTAAAGGTCAACCAAAATATGATTCCGAGGTATATGCGTTCGCCGTAGAGGCCTATTGTTCAATACAGAATTTAGTCCGTGGTCTCCCAATTATGCCGAGCATGATTCCTATAGAGTTATATATTTTCAAAACAACCATGATGCGCTCTATAAGGAAACTTATCGGCACTTCACGAGATTCGGCCCCTACAGTACCTCTGCAGAACACAACTTTGCAGGACCAGAAATTTGAAAAGGAAATTTTTATTGATCATGTTGGCATTCCCGATGATGATCTTATTCTTGATCCCATAGATGTTGTTCATGTTACCGTTGTTGATGTTGTTGTTGATGTTTCTGGTGACGATCAACGAGACCACACTGTCCAAGCAAAATATTCAAGTGATGGTGTCATTTTTTATGGATGCACGGAAACTTTTGGGACGTCAGAAAGTGACGTTGTTGTCCTTTATAATTCTGAGGATGTTGCACGTGATTGCATAATATTCCTACTCTTGGTTGCCCGGAACTGTTTACTTGACACTGGGAATGTTTTCGGCGTGACTCGTTCTTTTGGTGCTCCAAGGATCAAGGTGTTTGACCCCGGAGGATGGACGATGAACGGTGCAATTTTTTCCCGTTTTTTATTTGATTTCCAACTTGAGGACAAGTTGGTTTTCGAGGCGGGAAGAGTGATACAGGACTATATTTAGTTATTTACCATTATTATTATATTACTATTATTATTATTTATGGTTAGATAATTATATTATTATCAGGAAGTATTATTATATTAGGTTATTAGTATTTTAATTTATTTAGTTACCTTTTATGGCTAGGACTCTTTAGATCAACCATCTATATATGTAGCCATTATGCATGAGTTTATAATTCAATCAATAAAGAGATATTTTCCTAACCTAAACTCAATCTCTCCTCCTCGCCGATTAACAGCCCTCTTCCCATCTCCCTTCTCAATCTCCCTCTTTTCCTCGATTATATAGTTCGAAGGTGCTCAACCTTCCCTATCCCGATACGATATCGTATCAGTGGAGGAGGAGGAGGCTAATGGAACCTCAAGCCGGATTACTCGTGGGGGAGGGACCATGGTGCTTTTTTGGTCGACATGAGATACTAAGCTTGTGGGATAAGAAAGGACTTCAATTTGTACAAATAAAGGGGCTAAACTATATGCCACATTACTCGTGTGTGTACATGAAGTCACTTGCAACTATATTTTCTAAATATTTACCTGTTTTTTTTTCAAATTAAATTCTATATTTCATAATAAAATAATTAAAAACAATTTTTGGGTTTATTCTATCTTTATTCCTTTATTGAATTTTTCTCTCATTTTGGAATAATAATTTATTTCTCCCAAATCAAACTGCTACAACTATTGGAAGAAGATGATAAAAACCAGAGAGGAATTTGCTGAAATGGGAAAGGATGCAGAATATGAAGTTAAGAAAAGATATTGCTGGCTGGTAGGACCTACGGAGACTCCATATTGGACCAGCTGGGTATGGAGTGGAAATTGTGTTCCAAAACACAGATTTATTTTCTGGTTGATTATGAAGAACAGAATGCAAACCAGAGACAGATTGAAGAAGGTCATGGATATTGATACAAAATGTTTACTATGTGAGGAAGAAGAGGAGAATGTTAATCACCTATTCTGCAATTGTAATGTGACCAGAAAGATTATGAAAGTAATCTTTGAATGGATGAAATATCCAATCAGAGGGGATACCTTAAAAGAGACGGGAGAGAATATATGGAGGATTAAACCTACCCGAGCAAGGGGGAGGGCTATGGCAGCTTGGATGAATGTGTGCTATAACATTTAGAAGGCAAGCAATGCGAAACTTCATCAAAAAGAGATTAAGGAGGAAGAGATAGTAGCTACGGTTAAATATCATATCCAAACAATATATGAGTAGTAGAAAAGGGATAACAATGTAATTCAACTTTGGTGTATTAAACGGTTGAGATTGTGAATAAAAGAATAGTACTTCCGTTAAAAAAAAAGTACAATAGATAATTAAATTAAAAAACATGAATTTCGTGAAAGAAAAAAAATACATGTAACACTAATTTAAATTTCGATTTTTATAAAACTGTTCTAAGGTTGTTGGAATGGTTTTTGTACATTTCTTTTCTACGCATTTGGGCACATTTCATAGTGTACACAGATTTATGTAAAATAATCCACGTGTACATGGTGTTTAATAGTTTTTCTTTTCTCCCACATTTTTGTGGAATTAGCTATAAGATGCCAACTTTTTTTAACAAACCGAAGGCGCGCTCGATATTCTTTCTAGCAGACTCTTGATGTTTCTTATAAAACACACATTTCACATCGCCCTCACGTGGACAAGTAAATGACTTCAACATTGTAGGCCACTCTGGATAGATGTCAAAATAATGGCCATGTTTGGAGATCAAGGATTGGTTGTTAGCTATTTTTGCATTAGCCGATTTGAATGACTGATAGAGTTAATTATTTTGATCGGCTGATTATATTATATGTTAAAGAAAAATTGTTTGGGAAGCTTAGCTGTTAATAAACAGTTGTTTGTAGTAGAAATATCATTTTTAGACATCTACATTATATTTTAATTAGATTAACTTTTGCAATATTAATTAGATTAATTTAATAAAGACATCCCTCGATTTAATTTGATTAGTACAGAATATTTCTTTTCAGGAAGCACACATGGTGTCGATTACCTATCCCTTAAAATCAAAATCCAACGAAAAAAATGAATACAAAACATGCCTCGTTTGATTTAATTAGTACATAGCACTATTTTTTTTCCCATAAAGTACACACAGAGTGCCAATTAGTTTTTTTGCAGTATTGTTTATATTTTTGATGAGACATATTCAAATTAAATTATTTAAAAAAATTACTGATTTGGTTTAGAATAAAATGAGGAGATAAGGGTTGAAGAAAGTTACGTTGAAAAGAAAAACTAGGATCCCTGTAAGAGGGCATGAAAAGAACGTAAAAGTAAAGGTAAAATAAAGAATAATTCTAAAATGCCATCTTGAAATGCTCCCCTCAATGGCCTTTTAAAAAACATCGGTTCAGAGCAAACAACCAAACTCAAAAGCCAAGATCCAAACATTGCTTTTAGTTGATTGACCAGTCAAAATAGCCATATATTGCCAAAATAACCTAAGGCCAACTGAAAAGCTATTTGCCAAACATTACCAATAACCAAAATTATACTTTGTATCATTGGCAATAAAAGATGACATAGCTGCAATTTCATTAGCGATATCGTCAGAAACCAGAGATTGATCAAGAGCATCTACATCATTACTTGATCCGCAAACTCCGAAGAAAGCATGCCATATCCAAAGATCATTTCACGCTACTGCTTCAAGCATCAATGTATGGTTACCACGTTTATATTGGCTCCGCCAAGCCATTGGGCAGGTTGCCCACTTCAGTGTATACAGTAAATGCTACCAAGCATTCATGGAACTCCATGCACCTTTTCATAAACGTTGTATCCTTTTTGAATGTCATTCCATGACAACTTTCGCAAATATTTTCACCGTATAGTGTCATACCGCCATGACACCTTCAATATAATAGAAACTAAAATTTTACCCTATATATATTTGGAAAAAAGTTAAGTATTACAAATTAAATATAAGAACACTTTGCAAAATCAAATCTCGACATGTTTTTTCGGACACCTTCAGATATTCATTAAAGAGTAAAAACTTGTATCGTAAGCCAATTGCTAAATTGGAGATGTACTCTTTTGCAAATGCGTATATCCAAATTTACCACTTCCATCGGGACATTGTTGGAAGTGTTGAAATATCACTTGCAAGTCATCAATTATTCTACAAAAAAATACGGCGGTTCATCCTAAAGCGTCTAGCAAATGTCAAGTTGTTCTACGTTGGCTCGAAATAAAAATAATCTTTTATGAGACTGGCTTGAGGCATCAAGATCCCAATTGATTTGGATTCGTCTTCTAACAGCCCTTTTCTTTTCGTTATGGCCAAAGTTTGCGATAATACGAGTCAAGGTTTGGACTGATTTGATATCTATTTCGTCCTTACTAGACGAATAGAGAGAAATAGAGTACAAAATATTAATCTTTTGAGTAGAATTTTAAATAAATGAGAGATAAAGAAATAAGAAGGGAATGTTTTTATAAATATACTGTATAAAGATTGGATGGTTTAAATAATACTCCGTAGTAGAGAGTGTAGGAGGTTTGAAATTTGAAATTTTAAAAGAATTTTTCTTTTTTTAGTTGTAATCGTTAAAACTTTGAAATTTACTTTCAGACATTAGAAATTTGAAACTAAACGTTTTGGATTATTTACAATGATTTAGAAGAGTCTTACGTGAATAAAATATTTAATAAACGTTATCTATTTGTTTCTCAGTTTTAAAATAACTCTGGTCAAATATCGTAACCCAAAGTAGAAATTTTATTTTAGAACACATGAGACCATTTATATTTTATTGACATGGTATTCTTCTAAATAATTTTAAATAATCAGAAACATTTATTTTTAAATTAGTACTCCCTCCGTCCCGCTATATTCGTCCACTTTTGACTTTTGGAACTGTTCACCTAAGCACTTTGACTCATCAAATTCTCTCAATGTGTAAGCCTAAATATAGTCATGTGTGATCTTGTTTGATTTGTCTTAACATATAGATTATTAATATATAATTTCTATAATTTTTTAATATACAAATTACAAGATAAATTGGATTAAAGAAGTGCATTGGATGGTGTGTAAAAATGAAAGTGGACAAATACTCTGGGACGTAGGTAGTAAGTTTTATTTATAGTTTTATTTATTATGTTCTCATCTTATAAAATTTTAAAATATTTTTCCATATTTAATGAGTTTTTATTTTGAAAGTGGACTTATTTGAAAAAAATGCCTAATTAGAAGGGATCATTTTGGAAATTAGTACTCCATATAATTTTAACGTCGTTCTAACGCCCTTTTGACGACCATTAGTCGAAAGATTAAACTGAGCATTATTCTCATTTAACAAGTATTATCTCGACAATTAGTTAATATTGGAGACTAATTTACATAAAGTATCATTTTGAGAATTTACTCTAAATTTTTTAATCAAATTAATAATTGATTACATTCATTTTGTTTTTAATGTGATTTTTTTTAAAATGTGATTTAATCGTCCTAATGAGTAATGCCTAGCAATTCTGTGTAGCCGTAGAGGTGGCAATCGGATCAACCGGATCGGTTTCGGGTTGGATTTTTTCGATTCAGATATCTTTTGGTTATATGTTATAATCGGTTCGGTTCGGTTCGGTTCGGATCAGTTAAATTTCGGTTCGGATTTGATTTCGGTTCTATACTTTTTTCGGTTCGGTTCGGTTTCGAATCGGTTTAGATACGGTTTGGTTATAAATCGGTTCGGATAGATTTCGGTTCGGATACAATTTGAGTCGGATATATTTCGGTTTCGGGTCTAGTTCAGTTTGGATATATTTCGGTTTCGGATCAAATATATTTTGGATATATATTATTTTCTAATTAAAATTTAACTATCTGTGTTTCTTTTTATGTTTTATCACATTTATCAATCTATCATCAATTCAATACCTCATACGGAGTATTATTTTATATTTTTTTCTAGTTATATTACATCTACCCTAAATAATATTTCCTTTTTGACTTTTTTGTCATATTTTACAAATTTGGACTACAAATTATGAAAACATATATATATATATATATATATATATATATAATTATGATATAAATTTAATATTATTAAATTGATTTTAAAATTTAGTTTTGAAATATAAAATTTTTCTCACATCTACTAATATACTTATGTATATAAATGAAAGGATAAAAGATAACATTCAAATAGTCTTATCTTCCATTTGAATACAATTTGGTAAAAATTGAGTAAAATTGGGTGAAATTAAGTGAATTTTATTCAATTGAGTGCAAGATTTGTAAATTATTGAGTATATTTGGTTGAAAATAGAGAAAATTAAATTTAATAGAGTCAAATATAATTAATTTTACACCTAAATGTAATGGTGTAGATCAAATTTGAAAATGATAACATTAAATGTTGCTGTTAGAGAGTCTTTTCAAAATGCTAACACTAGCATCTAATTTTATTGATTAATATTGAGTGAATTGGTTTGAAACTAATCAAATTAACTCTCAAATCAATAAAATTTATTGTAATGAGATGAAATTGGATAAAATATAATTATTCCATACAATTCATCATATATTTCTTTCGTCCCAAAAAGAATATCACACTTCACTATTTAAAAATTACGGAAATTTTATTTGTTTGTGCGTTATCATTTATATGTATAATTTATCTTTAATTTCTATATATAATAAATTTAAGGCATAAAATTTTGTATTTTTTTCAAGAAGATAATCCATTTTTTAAGGGAATGAGCAAGTAATGTAACTAGTTCAAATGGTAAAATAAAAGTAAAAATTTAAAAATATAATATGCTTATTGAAAGGCTAGGGCTGTATACGAATCGAATCAAAGCAAATATATCACTATTCGATTCGTATTCGATTAAAGTGATATGTATTCGAATTCGGATTCGTATATAATTCGAATTTAAAAAAACATTTGTATTCGATTCGATAGATATTTGACGTATTTGAATTCGTATTCGAATATTCGAATTCGAAAATATTAGTAATTTTTTTCTTAAAACAGATTTCTTAAAGACATTAAATTATTATTTTATAATAATGTAAAATTTAGTAAAAATATGTTAGAATATATTTAAATTTATTTATAAATTGTAATATTCGAATATATATAAATTTATATGTACACAAAAATTTAATATATTAAAATATGTTAAAATATGTACACAAATATTTTATATATCAGAATATATATAAATTTATTTATAACTTATAATATTCGAATAATTCGAATAATAAACGAATCAAATCTATTAATATTTGTATTCGAATTTGAAAATAATTCGAATCTAAAATATGATTTGTATTCGGATTCGAATTCGAATATAGCGAATACGAATCATCCTTTTCAAATACGAATCACGAATCGAATACATTTTATTTGATTTGTATGCACCACTATGAAAGGCTAACATAGTTCTGAATTTATCGATTTTAGTTCTAATCGGGTTCGGATATTATCGGTTTCAGGTTTAATCGGTTTCGGATTTTATCGGTTTCGGGTATTATCGGGTTCGGATCTAATCGGTTTCGGGTTTAATCGGTTCGGATATTATCGGTTTCGGATCTAATCGGTTTCGGATTTAAAATCGGATATGAATTATTTAGTTCGGTTTCGGTTCGATTCGAATTATTTCGGGTTTTCGGTTATAGATCGGATCTTCATTTTTCGGATCATTCCGATTTCGGTTTCGGATATTTCGATTCGGGTAATCGGTTCCGGTTCTGTTTTGCTAGCCGTATCAAACCAGTTTGGGACTAGCAGGTTTCCACGCCGGCGCGTGCTCTTATCGTGAAGCCGTTGGCTGTTCTTTTGAGATTTCCGATCGGCGGCAACTTCTCTGTTAACCAAATTCGACAGTTGTGATCGGCTTATGAGGTAGAAGTATATCTCACTTATCGTCTCTCTTAAAGACCTTTGTTAATATTCTTTTCGAATGCGTGGATTTGCTGCTCTTATTTGTTCTTCATTTGCGTTTAGTTGAAGTTATTTCAAGCGCTTGAAGCCTATTCGGTTGGAATGATCCTTTAAAATGAAGCCGTGACATTTTGAAGTTATATGATTAATAGCTTGTAATAATAGGAGTGATTATCATGAATCAAATCATGTACTCCTAATTAGTTCAAGGTTTCAAATTGGGAAAATTGTGCTTTTATTTCATCATTTCCCTTCTATTCACGTTTGTATATGAAATCATTAGTTTTTTTATTTGATAGGCAGTATGGTTGCTACTATTTCTGTTTCTGGCAATATGAATTGGGGGCATGGATTTGGCCGCGGCTGTGATACCTATGGTCAAAATAACAAACTATATGGGAGATCATTATGTTTAACAAAAGAAGGATGCAACTTCAACAAGACAGCAAAATTCATCATGCGTTCATCAAATAGTTCTCATAGGATTGCAACTAGTAAGTGAGTGATCTAAACCTGAAGACTCATTCACTTTCAGGTGTCAAATTATGGGCATATTACTAGTTACTCAGTAAGTTTTTAAGGTGGGTTTTTTTTCTGTGTTATCTTTTACTTGTATAGTTACTAATGGCATGGGTCTTTGCAGATGAATCTACTTTGATATTGATCAGGCACGGGGAATCAATGTGGAACGAGAAGAATTTGTTCACCGGTTGTGTTGATGTGCCTTTGACCAATAAAGGAGTGGAGGAAGCGATTGAAGCTGGAAAGAGAATTAAGAACTTGCCTTTAGATGTCATCTTTATATCAGCTTTGATTCGTTCACAGATGACAGCCATGCTTGCTCTTACTGAACACCACTGCACAAAGGTGAAGTTCAGTAACACTGTGTCATATATGCGTACTAAACATATGATTGCTCAAAATGCATACTGTTGTATTTGAGATGGAGGAAGTGGGGAAATGACATTGCTCTGAGTCGACCCACGGAGTGAAATATATCAAGTTGCTATATTTCGTATGTGTCTTGATAGAATCTGCACATAAAGTTATTGCTTTTTGGACTCGAACGTCCTAAAAAAGTTTTGTTTTATATGGAGTAAATTTTTATGGACTCTTGGCTGTTCGATCTTGACATATGTTATTAAATTGTTAATCATGTGAGTCTGCCAATAAGGTACTCAATCGATTTCCATTAACTTGTTTATTAGGTGCCCATAATTCTGCATAATGAGAGTGAAGAAGCTAAATTATGGAGTGAAATTCATAGTAAAGATACGCAGGCACATTCTGTTCCTGTCATTAAAGCGTGGCAACTGAATGAAAGAATGTAATATGTTATCTAGTATCTACACATTTAATTTCTTTTTCTTCCAAAAATGTGTTTTCATTGAACAATTTGACGTTTGGTGCTTGATTCACAGGTATGGTGAGCTTCAGGGTTATAATAAGCAGAAAACAGCAGAAAGGTATGGAAAGGAGCAAGTTCATAAATGGCGCAGAAGTTATGATGTTCGTCCACCTAATGGGGAGAGTTTAGAAATGTGCTTGGGAAGGGCTGTTTCTTATTTTAAAGAGCATGTGAGTTTGGTCGCCTTCTCACGTAGAACACACTTTCTTGCATATTCTATTGCATATACCGGATTTTTTTCATAAAAAAACAAGTTATGCAGATTGAACCCCAACTTATGGCCGGAAAGCATGTGATGGTGGTGGCTCATGCAAATTCATTGAGATCCATTATTATGTATCTTGATGAGTTAACTTCTCAGGAGGTTGGACTTTCTTTTTCTATAATATCAGGCTTTATGCCTTATTCTACGCGTAGTTTAGTTGATATTAAAATTGGGTTTCTTGACGACAGGTTATTAACTTGGAACTATCAACTGGTGTGCCAATGCTCTACACTTATAAAGAGGGAAAGTTTTTCAGGAGAGGAAGCCCTCCTGGTTCAATGGAAGCTGGAGTTTATGCATACACAGAGGTTTATACTGCATATCTTTGTATTATAAGCTCATAAAAGTAACTTATACTCCACCCACCCACCCACCCCACCCCTATCTCATTTTTCTAGACACTGTACAAATCACAAAACAATAAGAAAATCCCATAATTGGCCGTGTCAGCAAGAACAAAGGCTTTGGACCTTAATTGGCCGCATATATCCATAAAACGTCAGCTAAAAGTGTCGGTGCTGATTAGAAAACCATCTTCGTTCCAAATTTAATACTTTTTCTAGTTCTTGCTTGTTCAACCTTTGCTGAACAAATGGTCACTGATTTAGGAGCGAGCTGAGTGTGGAAGTAGACATATATGTTGGCCATGTGTGCATCAATTGTCCCGTGGCGGAGGCTATGTGGACCAAGTCACAATCGAATGTCGTGGGCGCTTGTGTGCTGAATGCACTATAAGACTAGGGTATGCGCTTCTTCTAACACCAATTGGTTTTTAGAAGAGTTGGTAGCACCTGAGGTCGTACAATATAAACTACTTAGAGAATAACAATTGCAACAAAATCTTGAGATTAATGGCGGTAGATGAGTAGGGATAGAACACCTATGAAGTGGGGGTATAAATATACAATATTGTGATAGAACTATGATGGATCATTTAAGCATATTCATCAATCATGTTTTTATTAATCAAGGATTATGGTGTATATTTTGTTTTTTCTTCTTCTTCTTGCAGTATCTGGCCTGTTATAGGCAAAGAGTGGATATATGTAATACAGAAAAAGAACAGGTAAGATCATTACATGTATACACATATACCTTGCCTCTTTCACTGTGTACTTTGTTTTGTTCAAGTGTTTTTTAAGTTGTTGCACCCATTGCCAATGTAGTTTTGTTATTGACAATACTTTAGCTTCAGGTAAATAATAGATAAATCAAAATGACACATTAAAATTTCATTGTGTCTTCCAAAGTGAATGTAGCAATGCATCTAACAAAAAATATTCTCTGTTACAGGGGTAAGAATGCATACATCTTGGCTCTAATAACACGATTGTAAAGTTGCTGTAGAAGAAATGTGTCCCAACACCTCAGTGGTCTTCATTTGATTGGTAAACAATTCATATGGTTCGTTCTCTTGGTGCTGGAGCTGTTGATAAATTCCAACAGCTCTCTGATTTTGGAGTATTTTTATTATGAGGAAATTCCCAAAAATGGTACTCAATAACTATGTATTTTTTTTTTCAAATTAGTCCTTAAGATGAACAAAATACCGAGATAGTACTCATTAATAATGAACAATGCTTGCTCAGTTTAGTCCCTGACAAACGACCGTCAAAACGGAATTAAAACTTGTACTAATTTCACAAAATAGTCCTCTCTAATTGAATGTTTTCCCAAATTAGTCCAGTTTTGAAATAAAAACTCATTAAATATGAAAATATAATTTTAAATTTTATACGATGAGAGTATAATAAATAAAACTATATATATAATTTAATAAATTTGAAAGTAGACGTTTTAGATTGTTTAAAACTATTTAGAAGAATGTCATGTAAATAAAATATTTAATAAATGATTCCATCTATTCTGAAATAAAACCCGATTTACGATGTTTGACTGAAGTTATTTTTAAATAAATTAAACTAAAAATTGGTCTAGAATTCTTTGTTAGCATGAGTCTTAGTTTTGGACGAAAGGAGTATTAAGAAATGAGATTCAGTTTCAAAAATATTAATTTTCGCAAAAAATTAAGTATAAGTTTTGTATTTACATAAATTGAGTTCTGTAATTATAAAATTACTGCGACTAAATAATACTTTATTCATCCTCAAATCAGGCTCATGTTTACAACTCATAGGGTCAAATTCTATTTATTTCCTTAATACATTTTCGTCGATCATTTTTAAAAATAGTCATGTCACTAGTTCTTTTGTAGAACTTTTTGTGCACGTTTTTATTATACGGAGTATTTTTTTTAAATTCTTGACCAATTTTGAGTTATAATTTTTTGAAAATAACTTTAGCTATGTAAATTAAAACAAGAGTCTTATCTCAAAACTGAGGGAGCAAATAAATAAAGTTTACTAAATATTTTATTTAAATGATATTCTTTTAAATAATTATAAACAATTTGAAACGTTTACTCTCAAATTTATAAAATTATATTTATAGCTTTATTTATTATATTCCCATCGTATAAAATTTAAAACTATTCTCCATACTCAATGAGTTTTTATTTTGAAAATAGACCAATTCTAGAAATAAGTAAATATAAATTATCATTTTGGGAAATTATTATCAGTTTTAAAGTCGTTTTGACGGTTCGTTTGCTGGTGAACTAAATTGAGCATTATTTTCAACGAGTAACATCTCGATAATTAGTTTATGTTGAAAACTAATTTAGAGAAACACATAGTTATTGAGTATTATTTTGGGAATTTGATCTTTTATTTTTATTTTGATCATTTCGTCGGTTCAATATAATCTTAATCTTGAGTGCAACCTTTGAAACAAATATTGCTCAGAATGTTAAAACTCAAGAGATTGGCTGTTGATATTTTTAACTTAAGTTTTTCGCTGGTTTTTGGTATGCTTCGGTTTCATGCAGAAGATAAAAATAGTTTAGATTTATTAACTTATTTATGCATTTCAAATAGCGGAAATTTGGGTAAATATAAACACCGCTACCTTAACTTTTAGAAAAAATTAAATTTAATACCTGAACTTCAATTTCTTCCAAGAAAATACTTGAACTTCATCAAACTTTTCACTAAAAAGATTTTAGCCAGTTACGTTTTAGGTAAATATCTGGTAACTAAGTTTATATGGACACTGATATGGATTCACATGTGCATTTCCCTCATTCTTCATTCTTTTCTTTCGTCTTCATCATTCTTTTTTTCTTTGTTCATCTGCTTTTTTCTTCTTTCTTCATCTTCTAATTTATCTGATCTTCTTTTTCTTCATCTTCTTCCCTCTTATTTTTTTCATCTTTTGAAAATTATTGGGCCCATTTACAACTTTAAAAGATTTTTTTCTCTCTTCCTAGATGAGAAGAAGGTGAGGAGACGCGCCCCACACCGTGTGACCAGACCCACGGTATGCGCTCCAGCCTCCAATTCCGTCACCATTAGCCGCGACGGTCTCCAGCAGCGGCGATGATCCCAACCGAATGTCCATCTCCGGCGATGACAGCGATCAGAATAAGCAATGGAGCATCAGATCGCGTCCTTTCTAGCGTGACCATCCTTGAGTCAATTTCCATGACAATTATGGCAAACCAAGCAATAACGTTTAGAATATGATCTAAATGATAAGAACGAAACAGACTCATTTGTTTATAGAAAAATTTGTCTTTTTAATAATAATAAAAAAATATTTTTACTTTTTTTTAGTCCAATTTCTTTTAAAGTAATACTCCCTCCGTTTGAAAAAAGTGTTCCTATTTTGACTTTGTGTAAAAATAACGAAGTATTAAATTGTAGTTGACTTCCAATTTTGCCCTTGATGTGATAGATAAAAGTAAGATGTGATGGATAGATTATTAGAGATAAAGTATGATGTGATAGGTAGGGTATGAAAAAGTAAGGGTAAAAGTGATTTTTTAATAAAAAGTGGAATTGTTTTGTTGGAAGTGAAAAAAATGAAAGAGGGAGTGTTAAAAAACGGAGGGAGTACATTTCTCGTGCTTCATTGGTCTAATTTTTTCAAATATTCACTATGTCCTAAAGAGTGTGTCAAATTTCTGGCTTTTCATAAAAATTTAGTCAATATCTTTTTCAAATACAATTTTAATGGGAATTATACATTATTAAAGATTAGCCCTGGTACTCAAGTGTTTGTCAAGTTTTGACTTTTTGCAATCTATTAGCATTTATCATTGACGTATAATTTCAATTAAAATTGTATTAAGAAAAATAAATACTAATTATGCTTTTATTGAAAATTCAAAATTTGACATCCATACTTTATTTAAAAAGATATGGAGTCAACGTATGGTTTTCCCGCCCAAAGAGTATGACAATTACAAATGACAATTGTGAAGTTAAAATGGTAAGTGGCCGAAATTATAGTAATAATTATTATAATTATTATATTTATAATAATTAAAGAAAGGTAAGTTAAAATGGCCTAAAGGTAAGTTAATAATTGCAGTGGCCTAAATTATAGTAATAATTATTATAATTATTATATTTATAATACTTATAAAATGGCCGAAAGGTAAGTTAATAATTGTGAAATTAAAATGGTAAGTGGCCGAAATTGTGAAGTTCTAATTATTAAAAAAAGGTGTAAATATAATAATAACGTATTGAAAATTAGAAATAATTAAAAAAGGTAAGTTAATAATTTATGTGGCCGAAATTTTAGTAATAATTATTATAATATTATATTTATAATAATTATAAAATGGCCAAAAGGGAAGTTAATAATTGTGAAGTTAAAATGGTAAGTGGCCAAAATTGTGAAGTTATAATTATTAAAAAAGGTATAAATATAATAATTAACGTATTGAGAATTGGAACTAATTAAAAAAAGGTAAGTTAATAATTGTAGTGGCCGAAATTGTAGTAATAATTATTATAATTATTATATTTATAAAAATTATAAAATGGACGAAAGGTAAGTAAATAATTGTGATGTTAAAATGGTAAGTTGCCGAAATTGTGGATTTATAATTATTAAAAAAGGTATACATATAATAATAGCTATTATTTTTATAATAATCAATTAACGTATTGTAAGTGTGAAGTTAGTATAGCTATTATTTTTATAATAATTAATGTGAGCAATGTAAAATGGTAAGCGTGATGTTAATATAATTATTATATATATATATATATAATAATTAACGTATTGAAAATTGGAAATAATTAAAAAAAGGTAAGTTATAAAATTACATAGCGTAAATTTTTAATAAAATTGGAATCAATGCATTATATGCTAATAATTAACCAATGTTATTTTGACTACTGATTGGAAACGTTTGAAATTATGGTAAGAATAAGTAACTATCATTTTTAACCATCGGAAGTTAATATAATTGTTTTTATAATAATTACCGTATTAAAAAAGGTAAGTTATAGAAATCCAAAGCGTATGTTTTTAGTATAGGTAAGTTATACAAACGCAAAGAGTAAGTTTTTGAAAATCGGAAATAATTAAAAAAAGGTAAGTTATACAATTATACACCCAATTTCGAAAAAAATAATTATGGTAAGAATAATTATACACCCAATTTCGAAAAAAGTTAACCCTTCTTATTATAATTATAATTATAATAGCCTATAGCCTATTACAATTAAATATACTATAAATATTCTCACAAATTGTATAATAATGTAGTCTATAAATAAGTCTTTCGAAATTTGTAAAACAGTGATGTTTTTTACCTTAAAATAATATAATCTCTATATTTTATTGCATCTCATTTTAACCATTGAAAAAATGATTTGAATTTAATAACATAAAAATGACCCGTGCAACGCACGGGTGTGATGCTAGTAAATTTTAGGTCGGAAAGAGTATTTCAAAATATTAGACCAATAAAAGCAAGAGTAATTTATTACTCCGTATTATTAAAAAATTCACATAGTAAAAGTAAGGGTAAATTATTATTGATAAAAAATAGAGTTATATGAAATTGACTTAATGCTATGAAATTAAAAAGGTTTCTCATATATAATTATAATGGAAAATGAAAAAAAATTCATGAAATAATGAGAAAGTTAGCGAAAGGACCAACTATGCAACGTTTTCATGATTTGAAGGACTATTCATGGACTTTTTAAGGTTGAAAGACTAACTGTGCATATTGCTTAAACTTGAAGGATTAATGATGGAATTTAGCCTTTTTTTAATAAATACAAATATTTTCAGGGCATTGAAGTATTATGGCGTGGTTTGGCGTTAGTATGACATTATATCACCCTGTCTTCGAAGAACATGGTATCAAATGGGTTTAGGCATAAAATCGAAATCGTGTTGAATCGTTTGAATAGTATCTATATAGTACATGTTCTTTAATAATACTGAAGTTTCACGGACTGTCTCCATCTTAGTTCCATTGGTAACAGTCGTTCGATCATGATTTAAATGATCACGTCGGGTCGAGCGCTGAGACGATTCCGCTTCCTCTTGTTGTGCTTGAATTGTTGACATCATTGATAACGGCCCATCGTAAAACAACGAAAAATGAGAGCTCTTCTTTCATCGTCAGATGAAGATGATCCTATTTTTAAAGTATTTTTGTAGATAGATTTAACGAAAATAGAATATTCTTTGGATGAATTGTAGGGAGAAAGTGAATATGTTGTGAGTGTATATTTTTTAAAAATAAGGGGGTATTTATAGTTAAACATTTAATTTTTTTTAAAATTGGCCAACACTGGACCGTTGGGGGTGGCAACTTTCGAATTGCAGCTAGGCTACGTCAAACGTTTATAGCAAATGCGTTTACGGTTTTTTGACGCTGGAAGGGGGCGGTGTTTAATGCCCCCATGTCGTTAAATGCCCCATAACGATGATGGATGTCACAAGCATTTCTAGTAGTCTTAGGTCCACGGAAAAATCTACCTTCTTAATAATAAGAATAAGTGAAATTTGCACTAAATAAGACTGAAACATAATAACTTTCCTAATGTAAGATTTAAACTTTTTTATTCCGTAAATAGGACTTAATAATGACCTAGTGGAAGGAGTAATGTCCAGTAATGATGGACATTTAGTTGAATAATGACTACTTCATAATGACCAAAGGTCCTACATTGGAAAATAAAAATATATGTACCTATATTGAGAAAGTCATTATGTTTTAGTCCTATTTAGATAAATTTCTCTAAGAATAAATTATTTTTACTTTTTTAGTCCAATTTCTTTTAAAGTATTAAATTACTCATACTTTATTCGTCTATTTCTTTTAAATATTCACTCTATCCTAAAGAGTGTGTCCAATTTTTGACTTTTCATAAAAATTAAACCAATTCTTTTTCCCAATACAATTTTAATGGAAATCATACATTAAAGATTAACCTTAGTGCTAAATTGTTTGTCAAGTTTTGACTTTTTGCAATCTATTAGTGTTGATCTTTGAAATTAAAATTGTATTGAGAAAAATAAATACTCATTCTATTTTTTTGAAAATTCAAAAATTGACATACATTTTAGGTCAGAAAGAGTATTTTAAAAGATTAGACAAATAAAAGTAAGAGTAACTAATTATTATTGTTTAAAAATGAACATAATAAAAGTAAGAGTAAATTATTATTGTTAAAAGATAGACTTACACAAAATTTGACTTAATGATATGAAAAAAGATTACTCACATGTATTTATAATGGAAAATGAAAAAATATACATGAATTAATGACAAAGTTAACCAAAAGACCAACTGTGCAACATTTTCATGACTTGTACTATTCACGGACTTTTTAAAGTTGAAGAATTAACTGTGCATATTACCTAAACTTGAAGAACTAATGGTGAAATTTAGCCGTCTTTAATAAATACAATATTTCCAGGGCATTGAAGTGTTATAGTGTGGTTTGGCGTTAGTATGACATTGTACCATCCTGTTTTCCAACAACATGATACCAAATGTGTTTAGGCGTAAAATCGAAACTGTATCGAATCGTTTGATTAGTAATGATATAGTACATGTTTTTTAAAAATTTCGAACTGTCATAGAGTGTGTCCATCCTAATTAAGTCTATGTTTCAATTTCGTGTAAGTCAAATGAGTATTTGTTTTATATTAAGGTAAACTTTTTTAAATTTATTTTTAAAAATAAATATAAATTTATGTGAGAAGATCATGTGAACTTTAGGTAGAACTATTTTGTTGGAAAAACTCAAAATATTTTTGGCTGCCCGAATAAATCTTGTGTGCCCATGGGTGACCCAAGCAAAGTCCTTGTTGCCCAGGGACGTAATGGCAAACCTACAAAGGCTAAAAACAGAAATGGACCTAGGAACCAGAGAAACCGGATTTTAAGGAGCCGTTACAGGGGCAAATTCGTAAAACTAAATAAAAATGCGGCATTATTCCTAGTAACTTCGTGATAGCAACTTGCCACGTCCATACTTTTTTTTGAAAGCTACTTTTATTTTATTTAGTACTCCCTATTTTATTTGAAAAATTTTCTTCAAACCAAAAGGAATTTTTACACTCGTGGTATATTTTCTCTTCCAAATTTATTACTCCATAACATAGTTGTTTTTAATACATTTTTAAAGAACTGTCACATTTTTTTATTTTACAAATAAATTGAAGATTATGTTGATTAAAAAATTAAAAATTATGTAATATATTATTTTTCTCTTTTATTTTAGTTAACCATTATTTTTTTTATTTTATGGAGTAACAATTTTCTTTAATTTAGTGATTCGGGATAGAGCCAATGAAATTAAATTTACGGTTTATTACTGAGAGTCACACTATGTAGTCTCCACTATAAACTGCCAAAAAAAACTACGAGAGAAAGGCTGTCTTTTTCTCTGTCACCAATTTCCGAGTATTGGAATGAATTAATGCTCGAAGACTGGAATCACTGGATGAACCAGAAAAGAAAAATAAAATAGGGGTTTATCCCCCTCTCAATATCCCCAAACAAACAGAACTTGAGAAATCTCACAGACAGAGAGTTGCCCATCACTCCACCATGAGAAGAAAAGAAAAGAAGAAGAGGGTGGGGTTGTTTGGGTTTTCTCTCGGTTAAATGGGTCGGTTCGAATCCCTTACCTGAATTTCACCCGTTTGATTCCTCAATTCCTAGTTTCCCTTTCGTATTTCAGGCTGAACTGAGTTTTGGTGCTCTAATTTTTGGGTAAAACGGATAAAGGTTTGATTTTTATTTTATTTTGTTTTATGCTGTGTGTTTGTTTGAATTCTTTGTTTTCGTCCCTACATCTATTTGTTTGGGTACTTCTTGATTGAGAATTTTTCTGTGTGAAGGAGTAGGAGAAATGGGAGTAGCCAGCTCAAAAGGTGAGAGGAGCGACGCTTTGAGATTGTGTAAAGAGAGAAAGAGATTCATGAAAGAAGCCATAGATTCCAGATATGCATTTGCAGCTGCTCATGTTTCCTATGTTCAATCTCTGAGGAATATAGGCATTGGTCTTAGGAGGTATGCCCAGGCCGAGGGGTCGATGGAGGCCTCGAGTTTGTCTTGCCCTTCCCCCTCTCAGTCTCATGTAGGTGGTGGGGTCTCAGATTCTCCAGTCCCCAACAGTGGAAGCCCTGTTTCGCCCCTCGCCGCAGCCAGGCTGAGTTACATGAAGTCTGGTGGAACAGAGGCTGTTACTGTCAAGGTGGCACCACCACTTGGGAATGTGAATGTTGATGAAGATGGTGGTGGCCCGTCTTGGGATTTCTTTGACCCGGTTGACGAGAATGATGATTCCAGAAGCTTTAGATTCACAGTGTTTAATGATGATGTGAATGGTGGGGGTGATGCAGTTGAAGAAGAATTCTTGACACCTAAATCAGATCCTGGGGGAAGTGTTAAGTTTGGTAAATTTGAAGCCGAGAAATCTCATCATCCGGTGGGGTTGAGATCCAACGGCCATCATGGTAATGGTGATGGTGGTGGCAGTCATGTAAAGGGAGAGAATAGTTTGGTGGGGAAAGATATGTGCACCGAAAGAGAGGACCCTTCGGAGTTCATAACACACAGGGCTAAGGACTTTCTATCCAGTGTAAAAGACATTGAACGCCATTTCTTTAAAGCATCAGAATCTGGTAACGAAGTTTCAAGGATGCTAGAGGCTAGCAAAATCCGTGTTGGGTACTCAGTGGCTAAAGGTATAACAGTTTCTTTTATTTATTCATTGTCAATATGTGCAATTGTATTTTACTCCATTTGTTATGCAGTAGTTATTTTTCCCTTATTGCTCTTCTTTTGGTTCTTGATTGTGCATTTGTGCTAATGTTTTGTTTATTCGTGAGCCGAGGGTCTTTGAGAAACAGTGTATCTACCTTTATAGGTAGGGGTAAGGTCAACATACCTCCACCCTCCCCACACTTGACCCCCATTTACAACAACAACAACAACCCAGTTAAATCCCACAAGAGTAGGGTCTGGGGAGGGTGTGTGTACGCAGACCTTGCCCCTACTCGAAAGTAGAGAGGCTGTTTCCAAAGAGACCCCCGGCTCAACGTCAAAAGTTGCATTGCTTGACTAACTGCTACTTCATTAATTAAAGAAGCGCAGATAGTTTAGAGATCCATTTTGATTTATTCCATCACACCCCAAAGCCAAAAAATGGTGAAATTTTGGCTCCATCGGAGATGATGGAAAAACACTTGACCCCCATTTGTAAGACCTTAATGGGCTGTTGTTATTGTTGTAATTGTATCTAAACTCGATTTTAAATTGTGGGTTAGTTTGAAATTTGACAGTTTTATCTATTTGTTGTTTCAGGAAAATGGTCAGACTCAATATACTTGACTGCCATTGGTGCAATTTGCTGCCGAGGAGGAACTGCAAACACATCTGGTGACGAATCTTGGCCTCAAATCTATGTTTTTTTAAGAAAATACAAAACTTTTGTTTTTCTAATCTCTTTGGTGTTACACAGAAGGGGAGCAGCCGGTGACGAAGGTTATTACATGGAAGCGGACAACATCTTCAAGGTCATCTTCGTCGAGGAACCCGTTGAATGGGAAGGATGAGAATGATGATAGTGGAAGTGATTTTGTTGAAGATTTTTGCATGATTGCTGGAAGTCACTCTTCAACCCTTGACAGATTATATGCATGGGAGAGGAAGCTTTATGATGAAGTAAAGGTACCTTTTTTCCATAAACAGAATGTACTAATTTTCTATTTCTTGAAGGTTGAAGCTTTACTTTTAATGAAGATCTAGGAAATGTATAGTAATAATTTATTCTTTTTCCAAATAATCCCCAGAATCCAAAATAGTATATGCTTCATTTACTTTCAACTGATTATAATGAAGGCTTGCATCTTTATGTGAGAGTGAGTTTTGTGTCCTTCCTTTTTTGACTTCATCATGAATATGACTAACAATTCCATTGTATTATTCTCTTTGGAATGAATATTGATTTATATCTTTTGCAGGCAATTGAGTTTCTCAGAAGGCAATATGACCGAAAGTGCACCAGGCTAAGACACCAATTTGCAAAAGATGTTAGTTCCCAAGCAGTAGACAAAACCCGAGCGGTGGTGAAAGATCTGCATTCCAGAATTAGGGTTGCGCTTTATGCCGTTGATTCAATATCAAAGCGGATTGAGAAGATGAGGGACGACGAACTCTTGCCTCAACTTATGGAACTTATTCAAGGGTAAAGTTGGATATATATATATTTTTTTAATTTTTAGTTAGCACCCGTTTGGTAATGGTTATTTGTCTTAAACAAAGAGCATTTAGTAACGTCCATTTCAACCAAATAAGTAAATTGAAGCCTTTTTTCTTAAGGCCGGGAAAGAGACTAAAGTAGGAGCAAAACATTAAAAAATTTCCAAAATAGGAGTTTCATGTTTTTATTCCGAATTATAATGCTAATAATGTCAACATATAATATCAAGAAACACTCTTGAATGCCAATATACAGTGCCACAGTATCACAATGCTAACTCCTATTATGGGGTTAAAAACATGTAGCTCCTGTTTTGGTACTTTCTCTATGTTTTTACTCCTATTTTGGGTGATATCTTAAGGCCTAAGCCATTGTATTATTAAGCAGGTTGATACGGATGTGGAGGGCGATGCTTGAATGCCACCATGCACAGTACATAACGATCTCGCTAGCGTACCATGCCAAGACTTGCGCAACTAGCAATCCCCAAGGAGAGGATCAGAAGAAGGAGATATTGGTTGAGCTAATGGGCGAAGTGGAGTGTTTCGGGTTGAGCTTCACGGACTGGATCAACAGCCAGACATCATACGTGGAAGCTCTCAACAGCTGGCTGCAGAACTGCATCATGCAGCCTGCTGAGAGGAAGAGCAGAAGAGCTTTCTCCCCACGCCGGGTCATAGCCCCGCCTGTTTTCGTCCTCTGCCGTGATTGGGCATCCGGGATTCAGTCTCTCCCCTCCCAAGAACTCAATGACGCCATCAGAGCCCTTCTGCAGGACCTGCGCCACCAGCCATCATGTGATGATGATGATGATAAAGAGGAAACTGTGGTGGGTGGGGGGGACAAGAGCCAGAATGAGATGACCGGTTCTTCGTCGGGCTTGAACCGGGTTCATGCGAGTCTGACCATAGTTCTCGACAGGTTGAACCGGTTTTCCGAGGCTTCTCTGAAAATGTGTGAAGACATCAGACAGAAATGTGAGTCTGCTAGAAATGCATATGTGAACTATAGGCCTCCCCCAAGATCCTTTAGCATTTGAATGTGTACAAGTAAAAAAGGTTCTTGAAATTGGGAATGGTCTTATTTGACTCTTTATAACTTTATTGGTCCTTTGAGTTAGTTGGGGTTATGCTTGATGTACATCTTTGGTGCACCAATCACTTTTTTGTGTGTTCACAGACAAGATTTATCTGTAAGACAAATCTTGTTTGTAAAATGCAAAAAATGAGATGGTTGTTTGTAGTGTACAAAGAGTATAATCCTTGGAGTTATTATTAACTGAAAGATTAAAAAGAGTTCTTTTTTGGTAACAGCTGTGTTTTCCTTTCTTTTTTTAATATTTGTTTTCCTAAAATATATACAATTTCTTACGTAGTTAAAACTCCTTCCAATATTAAGAAGCTTAAGTTGATGAAAAAAAACAGTACTTAGTATCTATGACCAAAACATAAATACCAAAATATGATCTCTATGTTTTTTTATTTTCAAAATAAAAGCTTACAATCTTAATAATGTAACATACAACAACCCAGTTGGATTCCACAATAGTAGGGTCTGGAAAACATATTATATAAAAAAAATATTGTAAAATAGGGTCATATTGTTACAGTGCAAACTTCATTTTAGGAGTTAAAAATGTGAAACTTCTGTTTTTCTACTTTCTATACATTTTTCTCTTATTTTGAACATTTTTTTAAATTGATCTCTCTCAAAACCTACAATATTTATACTCTTCTTTCCTATCAAGTTTGGTAAGAGTGTCCATCTCGATCCGTTCCTTCGAATGGTAAGAACTACTCCGTAAGAAACAATCCATATGTTGTCAAGTACAAACTAGTTTCATCATCTATCTTTATGTCCAGTTTTTAATTTGTTGGTGATTTTAATGTCATTGACTATTTTGCGTAAGAAATATTTGCATTAAATAGTACTAGAACTTAAATCATTTCTCTAAATAGCACTTAAATTGTTTTATTCCCTAAACAGCATTTAATAATGTCCATAATGACCAGTGATGACAAACATTTACTTGAACAATGACTAATGAATAATGACTAAAAGTGCCACATTGAGAAAAAAATATGTGTAGTGCTATTTAGGGAAAGTCATTATGTTTTAATACTATTTATGTAAATTATATTCCTCTTTGCCTAATTTGATTTACTTAGAATGGACGAGAACTTAAAATCTTAAACATACATTGTTAACGAGTTTGGAGGTGCGAAATGCACGCTCGTTCAACGATATTACGAATTCCATAACGAGGTCAGGGAGCGACAGCCCCCGCTAGCAGGCTAAAAGGGGAAGCAGCCCCCAGCAGGGTCCACGGGGCGGAGCTCCTAGCTGGGGTCAAGCTACCGGGACACAAAAGTTTTTTATTTTGGACATCATTATTTTATGAAAATCCTTTGAATGTAATGTTTATCTCTAGCACCCTTTGTAAAGCGGACCAATACATTTGAATGTTTGATCCAAAATGTTCGAATGTTTCGCGATAAGATGCAACGCTTCGCCTAGAACAGCAGAAATCACAGTTATTAACTGCCATAATTAAACATTCGAATGTTTGAGTGCTAACATTCAAACATGACACGAAAAGTTGTATTATTTCATTAACCAACATGGCATGCATATTCTTAATTTGGCCTATAAATACATGGTACAAAGTATGTTTCAAAATAATGAAACTGTTTGGATTGTTTCCCAAATTTGTCCGGCCTAATGGATTGTTTTTAGTTTTTTATGTTTTTGTGCAAGTTTGTCTTGGGTTTTTGGAGGGTCATGGTGCATGCATTTTTTTATGCATGGTCATTTGTTGCACTTGGGAGTTGTGTTTTTTGGGGCTGTCGACTTGCCAAGGTATATGACGGCTTGGCTTCCTATTTAGAGGTTTTTTTTTGCATGGCTTGGCGTACTGGAGAGAGAACAACAAGCTACGAACAAAGGCAAAAAAAAAAGGTCCAGCCGTGTGTTTTTCTTTCTTGTGAGGGGTTGTACAACAAGTTTACTTTTACAATATTTTAGAGATTACTCTAAAGGGTCCTGGAGTGAATTATTGGTGGTGTTTTTTTAATTGTACTAGGGGATTTAGAAGTTTTCTCTTTGTACCTAAATATTGTATATGCGTGATAATATTGTAATTCTAGACGGTTAAATTGTACTTGCACTATTTTTATTGTGATGGTTTGACCTCATTTATGTTTTTGGCTTGCGGCTCTTGTTTGTTCTTTGACTACTAGTTTGTTGCTTCTTTTGCGTGGGAAGTTTGGTGCTATATTCCTTGACAGGAACTCGTTCTAGATTACTTACGTCTTATCCGATTGAAGTATTTTGGTATATTCTAATAATTTCAATCTAAAAGCGTTTTATACGCGTTTCGCTAAGTCTATCAAGTTGTTCTTCACGTTCTTCGTATATATATACTGATTCTCTAACACTGCCTCGCAACGTTACCGACCTTCCCGAGTTTCCAACAATTTTGACATTCTTAAGCTCAACATCTTAACTATCTTCTGTCATACAAGTTGTCAAAGGTTGACGAGTCTAATATCCAACACAATTTGTAATACATACAAGGGACCAAATGGTGAACTCATTATGTAAGTCCATTATATTGAAACATACGGAGTAATACATTTGCTAACACTCCCCTTTAATTTGAGATAAAAAGTTACCAATCACGGCTTGAGGCATAGGCAGGGTGGTAACCTGACCAAGGCCCGTTTTCGAAGGGGCCCTAATTTTTTTGTATATATACTATGAATTTGAAATTTTATTATTCTTATTTCTATAATGTTTATTATTGTTAAAAAACAAAATGATAGAATTAATTTTGATTATGACACAAGAGTCTATTTTCTCTGTCTCGTGCAGGGCCTATGAACATAAGGGTAGTTGCAACTGAACATAAAATGACAACCAAATATGTTGGGGAAATCATAGATAACACGGATTAATCTGAAACTCCAGAAAACACTTTAGATTGATTATTTTGGGCGTTGAATCAAAAAATTAATTGGATAAAACTCAAATTATTGCTCAAGAACAAGTATATATTATGGTGAATTTTCTGAACACAGTCATTTTCAACCAAACTTTGCTGGAGTTTTATAGAAGCAGAGAGAAGAGATGTCCAATGGCGTCTTTTATTCTAAAGTTCGCGTATAGTCGCGCGAAACTTTGAAGTGGTAGTTTTTCGAAAATTTGTTTATACCCAAATTTCGAAAACTAAAAATTAAAACTTTGAAGGTCGAGAATTTTTAACACATCACTTTGGACCCCACAGGGGCTACCGCCCCTTAAACCTTGTTCGGGGGCACTGCCCGCGAACCCCTGCCAAGGTGGCGCTGCCTCCTTAGAACCCCCATTAAAACGGAACTTTTATTATAACAAACTTAATAAAGCATACACTCCATACCACCAGACTTCTTTGATGATTATTATAATACCATTGGTCAAATATTTATTCCAATTATACTACTCCGTAAAATATATAACAAAATACTATGTCCTAAAAAAGTCATCAAAATTTGATGAAAGGAAGAGTGAACATAACAACAAAGCAAAACAAAACCAAGAAATTGAACAAACCAATCTTGCTTGAAAGTGACACACGGTTGAGATTGTGGCTAAACTTTACCGCAATTGAGAGACAACCAAATAGAAGCTCAAACCATTTTTTTAATGACCGTAGTAACGTATTTGTGACTGGCCGGGAGTCATTAACCGTGGCAAACAAAACAGTTGCGGACAAACATGACTGGATTAACCGTGCCTAAACAACTTTCACAACCAAGTTTGATGCATAGTTAAAAAAAACCAAGTAATCCTTCCATCCCAAAAAAAATTGCAACACTTCACTATTCAAAAACCACAAGAATTTTTATTTATTTTCACATTTTCATTAATTATTTGATAAAATAAAATACTCTTGTCACTTCTTGTTTTATAGAACTTTTGACGTAATTTTTAAATATGTAATTTTTATTTTTTATTTCTATACCAATCTTTAAATGAAATGGATTGAAAAATTTCAAAAATTTTCTTTGTTTAGCGTAATGTTGCAATCTTTTTAGGACAGAGAGAGTATGATATATACCATTTGCTTCTTTAGCTGAAATGAATGTGAAAGCTAGTTCAAACGAGCAAGCAATGTCAAGATGATGAATGTTATTAGCTACAAAAGGATGACACCCCATCCTCGAGGGCCCCTCTGCACCGGCCGAACAGTTAGTTGTGAAAGGATGACACCCCATGCTGAATGTTATTAGCTATGGGGTGTGCTAGGAGTACTCCAAACTTTGTACCCCAACTTGCACACCAATATATCACAGAGAACAAAGATAATTGTTTGTATGTGTCTGTGGTACACTGGAGTGCAAGTTGAAATACAAAGTTTGGGGTACCCTAGCTTTTTCCTATTAGCTATAGACCACACATGGCGTTACTTCTAGATCGCCAATAGCCGCAATAGATCAAACTTGTGTTTTATACAATGATTCATCTTATTTTACCAATATGTGAGACATGTAAAAGGTGAAATTGACAAGGTATGTTTTAAAAGTAGAGTGTTCCACCCTCTATTTTTAATCACACAAACACGCACAAAGACAGGCGTGTGCTTGTGGGCGCTCATGTCTGTGTGTGTATTTGTGGATGAAAAATAGGAGTGGGCAAGGTTTTGGGGACTAACTGGTTTTTTTGTATGAGGTATGTTTCGTTTCTGAAGATTGTTGTTGTTTATACAGCCTTCTCTTACAGGAACAGAAAAAGCTAGAATCCGGCAAACTGAGTGTATTGGGTGTAAACTTGTTCGGCATCCTGCACGGCAATTGGGGCACGTATCACATAATCCGGTAGATCAAATGCATCTATCAGCTCTTTAGCTATATTTCTCACTTGGAAACACAGATATTCGGTTAACTTGTGAATTGCCTGCAACATTCACAACACCATCACACTCAACAATGGAAACCATTCAGCAAAGTAACATTATTATTGTTACTATTATTCATCGACCTAACGCAAAACATATAAACAAATTGGTTTGGTAGCAAGATATCTTTAAGGCGTGGCAAAAGGATGGTTCAAAGATGAAATAAAATTAGTATTTGGAGAGAACTGATTGAGTGATGAATTAAAATTACTGTTTGACATCGCTCGTGTTGTATGTAAAAAAAGGAATAGTGTTTATCTAAATATTCTGAAGCAAAATACTTAAATGAAAATCAGAATCAGCT